ATATCAAGTTTATGTTGGGTTTAGATTGAGAAGAATGAGTATTAGTACAAGAACATTTTTAATAAGTATTAACGAAACTTTGTGAACGAGATTATTTATTTTCTTTCGTTTCCTGTTCTAGTTGACCAGGTAAATTCCTTTCTATATGGAGGCTGAGAGATTTATAAATGTCATAAATAGTGATTTTGTAAGCTAACACCGGTTGGACTATATTACGAAAGATGATAAATCTAACGTTATACTTTATCTTAGCCGTATTTTTTAAAAGTAATTCGTTAAGGATATTATTATTGGTTGATTTCTTAGAAATTAAATGTTTAGACGATAAAATATAAAACAATCCATATCCGTTCACAATGATATTGTTATCGTAAATCATATTTGTTTGATGCCGTTACTTCCTGTACATTTTAAGCACACTGCGCCTTATTTGAAAATTATTGCTCAATTCAAATATTTTTAACGATCCATACCTCGATTATGCTTTCATTTATTTTCGCGATAATTTTTCACTAAATTAACATTAAATGTAACAAAAAAAAAATGTTTTTGCTTTGCGTTCTTCCACTATCAACACTTATTAAGGTATTCAGAAACACGTACACTAATTTTTACTTTTCCTAGTACACAAACTAAACTAGTTTTTTTTAAATAAGTTTTTACAAGGTATTTTAACCGCGAATTGAACAATGTAATTTAAAAACAACCCGTTTTAACGAAAAAAAAATTAGGAGAATTCAGTTTTTGTTGCGTGCCCCGCGACTTGGCTAATTCATACTAAAGAGAGCGAGCGTTCCATACAACGTTAAGGAAGGAGCATTCATGTTGCGATCCCACTCTTTCAACGCACATGTTGGTCATCCCAACCATTTTCATTGGATCTTTTCAGTAGTCATCGTTTTTCAAACACAATTTAAACGGCCGGAGACATTTTTAACCCACAAAATTCTTTGTTGAGTCCCGACATTCTAAGTTTAACAACGCCTCGAATTCCCCACATTCGCGCTGAAACGCCGACGATTATGTTACGATTTGTTTATAAACAACGCGGATTGACTTGAATGCGAATGACCCTTTTCAAATAATGTGATTGTAAAGGTGTCTTTTTCTGAATTTTTGTTTTCCAATAAAATTTGTTTTACGAAATTACAAACAAAATTCATTAACACTTATCAAATAGAATTAATTTTTAATTTTATACAAAAAAAGTTAAAAAAAGAAGAAAAAGTTATGATCAAGGACAAAAAACCACCAGAAGATATAAACTGGTTCTTATTGATTCCAAACTCTTTTTAAATTAATATTAATCGTTTGTAATTCGCGTCCCGTCGTGTATTCGATATCTGCCTCGTAATTAGGCTGCTTGAAAAGTAGTAATCGCTAACGGAAACCGAAACGAATTTATTCAATTTATCGACTTGTATGTATTAATTGCCAAGTTAGAAGAAATCTGGTCTGGTTTAGACTTTAGAGGTCGAAGTAGTCTTCGTCGTTGTCGTCGGTAGGTCCAGGACGCCAATAAAGATGTCTCGGCATCTCACTTAGAGATGCCGAGGCGTCTGTTCTATACCATTAACGGACGTTGTGCTTGGTCCATGACGGCAAAGAGAAAGACCTCGTTAATATGCGCTCCGCCTCATATGCAGTTGTCGCACGAACGCATCTTAATGACCATGGCAATTAAGCACCAAGTTTCAGAAACAAGATGACGTTTTGACAGGGTTGATAAAAAATCCCACCTCGTCGAAGACAACCAACCAACAAGATAATTTATTAAAGTATTTTAAAGTTTCAAAATGAATTTCTAAACAAAATATACCTACATCATACGATTAATATATATGTATACACTGATAGACAGATATCCATACATCAAAAGATATGATGTTCTGGTCTTGTTTCTTTTTAACTCATAAAAATCATAAATTACGATCGAGATTAACCAGAGACGATCGAAAGGATAAAAACGCACACGAATCGAAATTGATTTATGCCGGTTTTTGTTTATAAAATCGACTATATAAACGTTGAGTTTAAAAGAACGGCGAGTTTAGCTTTAACGAGTTTTAACAAAAACGTATACTGCAAACATCCGCGCGGCACATCAATAAGAACATCAACAAAACAATATAACAGAACACAACCACCGGTTACAAAAATTGCTATGTGACTAACAACGGTGACGCAAGTTGGCTCATTTATGTTCGACGTATTAGCATATTAAAACGTCTCAGGATTAGGTGACGAGAAAAGCGATAAAATTTTCAAATTTTTTTTGTATAAGAGAACCGTTTTAATTGTTAAATTATAAAATATAAAATTTGAAACTATATGAAGCAAAAAAAATTGGTTAAAGAAGAGTTAAGATTTATAATGGTTTTTTGGTTTACTATTAATGCATTGTTTATGTTTTTAAACTATTTGCATAAGTTGTACGTTGTCGGTACATATCACGTGGTTTCTGTGTTCATTTGTTAAGTTAAATTCTTGGAAATTTAAAAATTTACTGTTTAAATGATGTTATTTAAAAAAAAATAATAGCTCTCGCTTAATGTATTGTGTACATGATAGATTGCTAACTCCAATTCCTCATTTCTTTGTAAATGTGCCATAACGTGCTTATAAATCAATAAAAACATTATAAACATTTTTAGCAAAAATCTCTGCAACAAGTCAAAAGATTTTTTTTGTGTCAAGAACAAATTTTAAAAAGTTTTCTAACAATAAGTCTTAAATCAACCCCTTCAAGACTGCAAACAATCCATAGAGTCATTCAATTTGCATTAAGTCTTAGAAGTCTGCATTAAATCATCTACGTGAAGATTGCATAAAATATTCATATATCTGCATCAAGTCTTTGAAATCTGCATCAAGTCTTTAAAGTCTGCATCAAATTATGCCTCTTGACTTGATAGATTTTAAGCATTATGATTCTATTCAGTTTGCTGTAAATTTCTATTATCACAGTGTCAAGTCTCCATCAAATCTTCATTGTATAAACTCCAGATTATTTTTAATTTCGCCCTGTTTATAGCAAGATAAAATTTATACAGTTTAGTCCATCAAGATTACATCATATTGGTAGATAGATCCGCATTAATACTGCCTTTCAATCCTTATTAAGTCTGAATGTGTTTGAAGTGTACATTAAATCTCCTTATGTGATAGATACATTATGGCTTCATTAGGTCTATTATAAATTTCCATTATTCCTGCGTCAAGTCTTCATCGAAATAGTGCCGTATAAAATCTGTCTCTGCGTATCAAGACAGACTCATACAGAGTCAAATCCATTAACACTGTAACTTTAACACTGTTCTTTATTAAGTCTACATCATATATTTAAAATCTGCATCAAATCATTATTATGATTCCTGGTTTGATAGATGCGTTGTGGCTCTATCAAGCCTACTTTAAATCTTTATCTCTCTGAATACAGTCTTCACCATATTTGTAGCCAGAAAAATGTATATAAAATCAGATGATCATCAAGACTGCTTCAATGTTACATAACTTTCACTTAAATCGTTATTAAGTCTGCATCTTAAATATATTTAAGGTCTGCATCGCATCTAAACTATACCTTTTGACTGGATGCACCATAGCTTTATCAAGATTATTTTAAATTTTTATCACGTGTCAAATAAGATTTCGGTGAAGCTAAGGCTAAATATCCATTGGATCTGTAACAAAAACTATATTTTGGTGTTAAATCCAGCACGCCTCTGTTTTACATATTTATCATTATTATTACATCAAATTAGCATCAAATTGCAGCATCAACACTACTTCAAGATTGCATAAAATCTCCATATCGTACTTAATGAGTTTGCATTGAATCTATAATATGCTTCCTGGTTTAAATGTTGCAAGTGTTCATTGATGAAGTCAGCATTGAGGCATATGAGGATATGAGGATATCCTCATATGCTCATATATGAGGATTTCGCTTTGTTTTTATCAAAACGAGTTTACGCCAAAACTGCATCTAGTAGTGCATCTTGTCACCTCCAAGGATTTATAAAACTTTCATAGAATCCTTATTAAATCTTCACCAAATCTAGATCATGGATCTGACTTGGTAAATGCATAAAGTCTCTCGATTATATCTACAGTAAGATTATTGTGTGTAAAGTCTACATCATGTTTGCGTTAATTCCTCAACATCGTGATCACCAGATTTGACTCAATTAGATTTTTTTTTCCTGTGGAAATATTAATTATCATAATTATTTATGGATATTCTTGAAAATACTTAGAAATTCCATGAAATCCTTGTTAGCTCTTTGAAATACTTTAGAAATACCTTGAAATTTGTTAGAAAACCCAGAAAATCTTTGAAGGTTTTTTTCAATATACAGGAAATAATTCTCCAATTCAGTGCAATGTGAAAAATCAGAATATCTTGAGCAGTATGTGCCAACTTGTTCTGATATTTTTTACTTGTTACGAAGAAATAAGTTTGTTATATTTAGTTCAAAAGTTATAAATTTAGGAATTTCTTAGAGTTGTTTTGTAGAGTTACTTTTTTTTATCAAAAACCATACTTTAAATTGCCACTAAATATAATTAAAAATTAATTTCATTTCTACTGCAAGTTTTTTTACAAGAAAAAATAAATTATCAACAATTAACAAAAAAAAAATCATTCTAAATTTAAATTTAACTGTGTATTTTTTTCATTAATTAAAACATAAATAATACCCGTAAAAAACAATATTTCTCGATCCGACTCAATTTTTACTCAATCTCCACTTTTATAAGCACTCACACTGTTGTTCCCTTTCCATTTCTTTGCTACAAGGCCCAAACAGACGTCACAATTGACGTCAGAGCTGTGCTGAATATGCAACAGACAGGTGCCTGGTATGCAACGTTTTTACAATGACCTTTTAGCGCGGTTAACCGAGACCCAATAGGGTCTTGGAATAACTCATAAATATTTTTATAATCACAAAAATAAACAAATCATGATAATAACAATAAAAGCGAAATCTTACCTTTGGTTTATACGTGGTTTCCAATAAATCTTCATCGCCGCTCAACGTCGAACACGTCGAACAGTCGGAAGATTTCCGAAACGACACTTGTCTTTGAATGTATTCGGCATCTAAGGTGCTTATCGTAGATCCGACGTAGTTTAAATTGCTACAAGAACTGTGGAGACTTGAATCTGGGGATGATGATCGTTCCTTTTGATTTCGGATGTGTTCGATGTCTTCGAGTGTTAGTGCCATAACTTCATCGGAATAATCGCTGACAACCACGGATGGTGTTCTCCAGTATCGATATCGATGGGATTCTTCACCATCATCGGTAAACGTGCTTTCGCGCCGCGATGAATCGTCGAAACCGTCGCTAACGTCGCTGAATTTTCTCTGATTAGTTGCGAAATCAATCGGGCAAGAAAAACATTGCGCTTCGAGCAGGGTTTTAGTGGGGACGTTGTAATGGTCTATGGAAGATCGGGGGCTATAAGGATTTTCATAGGAATAAGGCATCTGGATTTCTTCTTCACTAGATTTTATGGTGGGTTCGAATTTTTTTAATGAATTTAATGTTATTTCATCATCACTTTGAGTCAATCCTAACGCCGAATCTGAAGAAGCACTTCTTTCAACTCTTTTTGAGTACCATCCCTTTTCCCTTTCATCATCACTTCCCCCGGAAGCTGAAGAACTACAATAACCGCTCGGAGGCGGTGCCAACCAATCATTATTATCTTGACCTTGTTTCCCCAGCATCTCTAAATACTTCTGTTTCATTTTCTTAACGCTATTAAATCTCGTTTCAGGTAAAACATCAATCTCATCCACTATTTCCGCGGTAATTATTTGATTTTGTTGGTGATCAGGCGGCGCCATCTGTAAATCACAATCCGAAGCGTCGACCACGTCGCCGATTAACGCTCTGTAATATTCGCGGTGTTTTTCGGCTTTTTGCTGGACGATTTCGCGCAAGTCTTCATCCTTTGGTATAGAACCAGAAGATGATTTCTTTTGGAGCTGATTAGGTTCCATTTTTTGTTCGATGCACGTTAGATCGTCGATTATGCACTGAGAGCTGCAAGATCTACTGGTAAACCACACGTTGACCGGCTCCGAAGAAGGGCGACGTGCCCAAAGGACGCTGAAACTGAACGGGGAAGAGCCGTTAAACCACTATATAAACTGTATAGTAACAGTACGGTTAAGGAATAGTGGAGAGGTGTAGAGAGAGGGTCGGAGAGGTGCTTATCTGTTCAAACGCATTATAAATTTGAGATTTTTTTTAATTCCTTCATGCAAACGGAAAATTTTATTGCAACTTTACCGCAAATGGTTTTAAATTTCATTTCCAGAGAACATAAAACTTCGCACATTCACGATGCTAAGGAGAAATATGAGTATTAACCGAGCCGGGGGGGTTTATTATTTCAAATAGTTGTTGATAAATCTCGAAAATATTCTTTTTGACCTTCGATTTCCAAAATAGCCTCACTCTTAGTGTTTCTTGTAGTGACGCAAATCGGGAAAAAATTTATAGCCATTGTTATCGTTCTCTAATGATTAATTTAAACTAAAAATAAAATAATTAAAATTGTTTCACTGACGAGTTCGTCGTTAGGTGTGCGCTTTTTCCTCATTAGCTACCTCGCGATAAGATTGTTTGGAAAAATACCCTGTCCTATATAGTAATTAGTAATTACGCTAAAAATAACATTTGAAATGTCTCGTACAAAAAAATTGATACTTCGTTAATATTATAGATTATAATTGGTTTAAATTCTATTCAAAAAATTTTAATTTGGTTAGTTTTCTTTGAAAAGTTAGTTTAAAACAGTTTTGTCAACAATCAACAACATTGATAATTTTTATATATGTAATTCACAATATCATTTTCATTGGAATAAGTTGTCCAGGAGTGTAGTGATTTCTAATAAGTGAAAAAACCTAGCTATCCTCTACTTTTTTAAGCTTTTTCGCGTTACTGGAAAGGGTATGATTTGTTGGGGGTCATATCAACAAAATTGAAGACTGTGTTAGAGAAGTACATGGTCTTCTGTACATTTTTATGGTTTCGACCCAAAAGATCTTACTTTGATGTAGCAACATTTTGGTTTGTAGTAGTATAGAATTTTCTCTAGAGTTTTTGGTGCAGCTTGTCATTTTCTACTTCAATGGAATTTCAATGCATTTATCAATTCTCCGCTAAGGGCCACCATAACTCCGTCATTTGACGATATATTAATTTAAAGAATATCAATCGTCAAAGAAGGTATAAAGCCACTCTCAGAAAATTCTGTCAAAAATATCGTATAGCCTAATACCAATTATTGCCATTTGAAGACAAAAGTGGATACGAAGTTGCAGTAACTCAGAACGTTTTGTAGAGATGTTAGATAAGTTCTTGGTGCCTTAAATACAGAAGTTTTCTGGTTATAAGCGATCAACATAGTTCTAGCAGATCACGTGCAATTAACGTCATTAAAATTCTAAAAATTTTCAAAGACGAGGTTGAATCGAGAACAACAGACTTTATAGACCATGGTATAGAGTGGCACGCAACATTGTGGTTGGGGAGAGAAAAAAGAATTGCTCACTATTTCCGAGATTTCAGACTTCTCCTAAACAGAGAGTACTAACTTTTAAATTTATGAAATATGTTGATCACTGATTTCTTAATATGGTATACAATTGACGCCAACGTAATTCACAAAGCTCGAAATATTAAATTAACTTTTTTGCTTCATAAACATCAAATCAAAATAAAATTAACAATGCTTTTAAATTTACCTCAACAATTATCGATTTGTTTCGTATTTTTTCCTAAATACATGAAAATGTATGTTATTTTTTTTCCATTAACATATTTATTTCGTCTATAGACTTTAAACTCCGCGAACATGTCGGACATAAAACGATAAAAGTATTTGAACAACGTTAACTTAAGTGAACACGATAAAAACATCAACTTAAACGTTTGTTTTTTACTTTTAAAAAAGGATTTTGGTTTCCCAAACGTGTTCAATCATGAAAACAAAATTATTTTTGCATAATTTTTCAAATTTTATCTTCATTCTCTGTAGCAACCTATTTCCAAGGAATAAATCTAATTGACGACATGATAACCCTCTCTCGCGTTATTTCTCATTTCTTTTAAGCTTTGACGTCAATCTTATCTTAACACATTTTGTTGCTCCCGGTGATGTGTGCTTTTCGAAATAATTACACATAAGAATACGCAAAATGATGAGATAAGGAGTATTGCAAAAAAAATAATAAAAAAAGATCAACTTTATTGTTTTGTTGTAGCTTTTAATCTCTTATTTTGAAATTGTAAAATAAAAATAAATTCGAGATCTATAAAAAGACTTTAATTCGCAACAAACGTTGTGAATTAATATAAACGGGGCACGTGATGAATGTTTGGTCTTATATTGATGGTTTATAGAACTCAAATCTATTTATAACGAACTCGTCGCACGTCATCTCTAAGATTTTAAGCTAAAACGCAAATGAATTATTTATTAATACGTGTTTATGTTTTGATTTGTGTATTGAAACGAGACATTACAAACTTTATTTCAAAAAAAATAATTAGTAGTACATCTACAGCGTGATAGGAATTGTACTGATTTTAGACGTAGTTCAAAGATTATTTCTTGGATTTGTAATAAATTAAATATCAACAGAATGAGGTTATTAAAGAAACAATTAATCAATTTTGATGATTTTTTTTTTTTGGTAATTATTTTATGATAATCGATTAACGGTGGACCATATCAGTCTTTTATAAGACGTTTACCAACTGTAAATATGTATTTAGGCCAATGGTAAGTTTGCAAGGTTACTTTGAATGCAGAGTCAGCGGAACAACTCGTGTATAAGAAGAAACTACAAGAAATTACACCATATTCCACACGTATTATTTATTTCATCTTTATTGAAATTTATATGTAATAAATTTGTTTTAGAATTCCCTGGAAATGATTATAAATTTATTTAGTAAATTCACTTTAAAATAAATTTTTAAATATTAAAATTTTTATTCTGATTTGGATGGAAGTTTGCGGTTGAACAACTCTTAGATAAGTTAATGACGCAAATGGTAATTAGTTGGAGGTGGGTGTGCGTGTGTAATTTAATATTTAGCATGGGCAATAAATTTGAAAATATAATACCATTTTTGTTATTGTAAAACATAGAAAGAAAATGCGAAGTTTTCCCTGAACTAATTTAAAAAGTAATTTCGATCTGAATTTACACGAAAAGTATTCGCACAAATATTTACCGAAAATAACATGGTTTATTTTACTTGGTTATTTTTTCTCCGGTTAACTTACCACTCCATTCCCTATCGATTGGTTGATCGTCAGACCTTGTTACCTAGAAATAATACAAAAAGAAAAAAATTAGGTTACTTACTAAGTTTAGTTGTTGAAATTGATTGAGAAGGAATCCGGGTTAGAAAACCGTACAATTCACAAATCTTTCTAAGTCTGAACTAAATAATTCCCAACTTGCCAACGTTATTTATTAAACAGCTTTCATAAAACAGTCACGAGGGAAAGATAAAAGTGAACAATGGGGTGCCATAAACTTCTCGGTTGCTTCACTTATACTGATTCACAGAATCTTCTCGCTCTGAGAGCATATCGTATGACTTGTATGTAGAATAATAACAGTTTCTCGTTGTTATACCGTTTAGAATACAGTTTTAGTTACACACAACATATGGTATTGCTTTTATAAAATAATTGTTCAAAAAATAATAAGTTACGAGAAACGGTAATGAAATTTAGAACAAAAACGTTTTCATAACATTCCATTCTATTATTATAAGGAGGTATAAAGGAAAAACTATTTAATTTTTATTTTATATTTATTTATTTATCAATAAATTGAGGATTTTTAAAGTATTTCAACTACAAATCGAGGAATTTAGCATTTCCTATATTTTTACCTTGCTACCTCATATCTTTCTCGTTTATTTTTATTAAAATCTCTATCCAGTTTCCTTCTTCTATTATAAATTTGTGAATCCCCTATCTTTTTGCACAATCTATTTTTCAAATTCCAGTACTATTCAATTTCTGTTTTGTCTCATTTCGATTTTTCTACTTTCTGTGCAGTCTCTTTCATTAATTATCAATTTCTTTTTTATCTTATCAGTCTCTTTGCAGACTCTACCATATTTTCCCAGTTTCTTCTATTATAAATTTCCTTCTTGTCTTTTCAGCCCCAGTTGTCTCTTTCGTCCATTGCTGGTCTCATTCTACTATTAGTATCTATTCATTTTCCTTTATCTATTGCCAGTCTGTTTCCAGACTCCAATTTTCTTCTCTACCGAATATCTTTTATCTCTTTCCAGTCCCTATTAGGACCTCATCTTCTATTCCCTGTTGCTTCTTGTATTGCTAGTCTCTTTCGACTCTCCCTTCATCTGTCCATACTCTTTCTTCTACTACAAGTCTATTTCCAGTATCATATTTGTGACCTTTCTTAGTCTTTTCTTTCTTCCTTAGTATCTGTTCAATCTACATTTTCCATTACAAATAAGTATCCCATCTCTTCCACTTTTCGCAATTGCTTTATTACATTACTGTTTTCTTCCCGTCTTCCTCACCTCTGTATAGTCTCTACAGTGTCTTAAATAATAATTGGAATTAATATAAACGTGTATGTAACATATAAATGAAACACAACCAGAAGGAAGGATACCTTTGTACGTTAAGGACAGGAATAACAGAAAGGAAAAATTCCAGTTCCAAAAGTCCCTGCGCTGCTAATTTTTCCTTTCTGTTATTCCTTTCTGTCTTCTTTTTCCGATTTTCTTTCGCTCTATACACTGTTTCTTACTTACAATAAAGGCCACCTTCTTGTTTTTCCATCTTGTCTTGAGTCTCTTTGTTCCACTACCAACTATCTGTTTCACATTCTCCCCAACCTTGTCTTTCAATTTCAATACTTTCTACTCAGACATTTTCTTCTATTATCAGTCTTGTTCTTGTCTTTTCACACTCTGACTCGTCTTCTTATTCTATTATAATCTATTTCCATTCTCCCTACTTTCTACCCAATATCATTTTTTCGCATTCCAGACTCGGTTCAGTCTGACCGAGGAAATAAATACGCAATTTTTAAGTTAGTATTTGAGCTTTGGGTAAATATTCTATATTTATCTACAAAGTTTTGCTGATTTCAGAATTGTTTGCAACCTGTTATACTGTTGTACATAGTGATAAAAAGCTTTCGCAGCTGATATACAAGACTTGGAGGGATGTACGAATTACCACTTTGGAATTTATAACTTATAGTAAGATTGAAATATGTTGCCTTATGCCTGGTTCGTCATAGAATTAATTTAATTTTATGAGGCTTGAGTACCTTGCTGATTGAGGTGGTACTGTGTAGGTTTTGGACAATTTCTTCATCTCAATCCAGTCTTCACGACAATCAATTTATCTCTTATTTGTTCAGGAATCATAGTTCTCCGTCAATACTCATCCACTCTTTATCACCAAATCTTTCGTTTTGGGCTGGATCCCCTTCCTCTGGTAACCCTGAGCCTTAGGTTTTGAATCACTTCTCTTAAAACGGAAACATCATAATCATCTTTAAGCATCATTTTTTTTCTGGCTTGTTTCTTGCAATACCAGCATAAGCCTGATTTTTCACCTTTGCTGTCATTGTGTCAAGTGATTCGTCATATGTATGTCATGTGTCATTGTATCTGTAGTGTTTCTTTCTCCGTTATTGGACTAATAAATCCTTTAATGGCATAATCATCACGTAACATGTTCTACAAGGTTGATCCCAATACAAACTCATACTGCACATGTAATCGTTTTTGTTTTTCTGTTAAAATAAACTTATTACACACTTCAGCTGGTTTCTTATCTGTTTCTAGTGCGTTTATTGTTGATCTGAAATTAATTTTCCAGCTATTTTTGACTCCATTGTCAATGTGTCATTTATATTGCTCTCATTTTTCTTCCCTTTTTGCTTCTTCTATTATTGCTAGTTATAAATTTGAACCCAAACTCTAATTTACGCTAATCGCTTTTCTATCAAACGTATCGTTGTCACCACTCTGTCGTTGTGGTCAGTAAGAATTTCGTGGTCTTTGCCTTGTCTGTGTAATGCTGTTACTTCTTCTTCAAGATAGGAAAATTGACACCATGATTCGTAGCTCTACTAGCCTAGTTTGGAAGTGCTCTAATTGCTAGATGGGTCATAACTTCCCATAACAAACAAATTTCTCATGGCCCATATATTTTAAATATTCACATTTGAGTTCTCTGTAATAATATGTTCAATTTCAAAGTTTATTTTAAATTAATTCAAAATAATGCATTAATTTTATTAATAATTACCTTACCTGTTACATATTTATTTTTCGGATTTACACACATATTTTAATAATTTGCACAATTAGAACACGTTAACTTTATAACTTGATAAGTTATTATAATTACACAAGAAATTCTTAATTTTATAAATATATAAAAAAACTTTCTTGGTCACCTTATTTATCATCAACTGTAAGTTTCGTGACAGTATATTCAAAAATAAAAAAAATTACAATAATTATCTATTGTTGCGATTGATAATGGGGTCGATTAGTATGCGTAGTAGCAAGTTTGTAACTGTCGCAATCTCATTTAAACGAACGCAGGTGCGTTTCAGTACATTTAACATTTATGTATCAGTATCATAACTATGTGTACTACTTGCGAATTGCTGGGCGGTTGCAATTATGCGTTATAAATCTCATGCCACGCCGCGGCGTGAAAAAGAAACGACCTTTTCGCTTACTCAAATTGCAGAAGGCGAACCAGCTTTGCGCTTTTTAATAAAAGGTTTTCGATGCTAATTGAACGTTGGTTTATATAATTCTACGGTTTTGTGGTGTTTAATTCAATTAATTGAATGAATCTGTTTAATTAGTTGGAAGTATAAATTGTAATTTATATAAAACGTTTTAAAAATAGAAAAACTAAATTATCTATTGACGCACGTTCTTTAAACATTTTATATTATTTAAATTTTTAAATTGAAATCGTTCACTAAGGATATAAACCAATTGCCAACACTTCAACTATCATCATTGAATTAAAAACAATAAATTAAATTGTTAAATTGAATAATAAGACATTTTTTTACTAACAAGATCATTGTAATCCGGTAATCCAATAAGATTCATTCACAAAATAGCGTTCCTGAACGGTTCACCGGACGCAAACACACTTACACACACTTTCTCGTTGTTAATCGGACTGTTGTGTGCAGGAAATTCGTAAAAATAAATAATGGTCAGTAGGATATGCTGCGCGCGCGAGCAAAACGCATGCGCGAAACGTTTTAAAACTTCTTCTTACGTCCGACTTTGATTCTTTTCAAGCTTTCCTCAATTTTTTTTTTGTATTTCTCGATGCTATTTATAGACCGTTTTTGCGAGATCTCATTTACAACTGTCGTCATCGCATACTTTCGCGGTTGATCGTCTTTTCACCTCTTCAGTCGCCGGCATTCATTTACGATTTCTTTCTTTGAGATTCTGAGAAATTGTTGGAATAAATCGCACGAAGGCGGCCGCACGAATTCAACCCTGACCTAGTATTATATAATTTGCAATTTTAGAAGTGTACTTGTAGTTTAAGGCTAAATTTTTCTTTTCTGCAAGTTTCATCGAAGCGATTATTTATTTATTTATTAAATTTTTCAATTCGTTATTCTTCTACTGGTCAGGTTTTGAAGTTCCAACTTCCATTCATATCATTTTCCAGTCACAAAGTTTCTTTTGATTCTATTTCTTATTATATGATATCTTCCTTCTTCAACTCCATAGAACTGCCCCATATGAACACACACTGTAACAAATGGGGTCCGGTAACTCGTCTTTCTCACTCTCAGGATCCCTTGGAAAAGTAAGGTTATGCGTTATAATTAAGCATAAAAAAAAATTCATTTCTACGTAATCCAAAATGGTCAAATAACTTTTAACATAATAATTGCTGGATAAGTAATCAAGTTAAGATTAATTAAACCAGATTAAACTCAGTTTAAAACTTAAAAAATTAAGACTTTTCAATTTGACATTGACATTTAGGATAGTTTTTCATGTAACGCCATCTATTATTAGTAGCGTGAATTCGTAGATATTAAGACAACCCGAGTCTTATAAGAATTTAATTATTACTTTAAAGCTAATTACATTAACAGGATGGTTATTCTTCGAGCCAGAGGTCCGGTGACTCGTTTTTTTCAGGATCCTTAGAGGGACCCTCGGAAAAGTAAGGTTATGTGTTATAATTAAGCATAAAAACATAAATGCGTACCAAAATTCATTTCTACATAATCCAAAATCTTCAAATAACTTTTAACTTAATAATTACTGAATAACTAATCAAGTTAAGATTAATTAAACCAGATTAAACTCAATTTAAAACTTAAAAAATTAAGACTTCAATTTGACATTGACATTTAGGGATAGTTTTTCGTGTAGCGCCATCTATTATTAATAGCGTGAATTCGTAGATATTGAGATAAAATCTTACAAGAATTTAATTATTACTTTAAAACTAATTACATTAAAAGTGTCCCCATTCTCGATTAATTATCACCATTCAAGGATAATCGTCATAGTTAGAGGTACAAACTTATTTTATTTTTCAACAATAAATTTTGACATTTGTATTAATTTTGAAGGTTAATGTCAAATGTGAATCATCTTGTCGATAATTTTTAAGGTTAATGTTTTATAAAATTTTGACATTTAAGGTTATATTGTAATTGTGACATCTCAAACGGTAGAATTTCGTTTGAATTGAAGGAGATAATTTGTTATATCAACATTCAACGATAATCGTCATATAATAGTTGAGGTACAAACTTATTTTATTTTATAACAATAAATTTTGACGTTTGTATTAATTTTGAAGGTTAATGTCAAATCTGAATCATCTTGTCGATAATTTTTAAGGTTAATGTTTTAATTTAACCTTAAATTGTTATTAGTTTCAAATCGTTTTATTAAAAACAAACAACGATTTCATTAACAAATTAAGTTTTATTTACATCTTATGAAATTTTGACATTTAAGGTTATGTTGTAATTTGTTATAGTAAATACGATTAATACGTTAATTTGTTATAGTAAATACGATTTATTTATTATTATTATATAGTAAAGCAAATAATATTAATTCTAAGTGAATAACAAATTAATTTTAAAATTTTAAGTTTAATATTATAAGTTGTTATTAGACATTCCAAAGTTAGTTTTTAAGATTTCCGTTTGGTGTCGCCACTTGCAGCCCTCTAAATTTATTTAATGGATAATCCTTAATTTATTTGCTTTAAAACTAATTACATTAAAAGTGTCCCCATTCTCGATTAATTATCAACATTCAAGGATAATCGTCATAGTTGAGGTACAAACTTATTTTATTTTACAACAATAAATTTTGACATTTGTATTTTTTTTTAAGGTTAATGTCAAATCAGAATCATCTTGTCGGTAATTTTCAAGGTTAATGTTTTAATTTAACCTTAAATTATTAGTTTCAAATCGTTTCATTAAAAACAAACAACGATTTCATTAACAAATTCAATTTTATTTACATCTTATAAAATTTTGACGTTTAAGGTTATGTTGTAATTGTGACATCTTAAACGGTAGAATTTTTTTGAATTGAAGGAGTTAATTTGTTATAGTAAATACGTATTATTAATAATTCTTACTGTATAATAAAGCAAATAATATTAATTCTAAGCGAATAACAAATTAATTTTAAAATTTTAAATTTAATAACGTTATTCGACTCCAAAGTTAGTTTTTAAGATTTCCGTTTGGTGTCGCCACTTGCAGCCCTCTAAATTTATTTTGTGTATAATCGTTAATTTATTTGCTCTAAAACTAATTACATTAAAAGTGCCCTGATAGAAATTCTCGATTAATTATCAACATTTAAGGATAACCGTCATAGTTGAGGTACAAACTTATTTTATTTCACAACAAATTTTGACATTTGTAATAATTTTGAAGGTTAATGTCAAGTCTGAATAATCTTTTCGATAATTTTTAAGGTTCATGTCTTAATTTAACCTTAAATTAGGTTCAAATCGTTTTATTAAAAACAAATAACGATTTCATTAACTAATTCAATTTTAATTACATCTTATAAAATTTTGACATTTAAGGTTATGTTGTAATTGTGACATCTTAAACGGTAGAATTTTTTTGAATTGAAGGAGTTAATTTGTTTTAGTAAACACGTTTTATTAATTATTATTGTACAATAAAGCAAACAATGTTAATTCTAAATGAATAACAAATTAATTTCAAAATTTTAAATTTAATAACGTTATTCGACATTCCAAAGTTAGTTTTTAAGATTTCCGTTTGGTGTCGCCAGTTGCCCCATAAATAGCATTAACGAAAATCGTAGCCCCCTAAATTTATTTTGTCGATAATCGTTAATTTAATTCTTCCCAAGTTTTAAATTATTGATTAAACATGCGTTAGCGTTTCGTTTACGTGTATAGAATCGTTTAAAAACGGGATATTGTCATGCCCTTTAATAACAACGCATTAACGAAAAGGTTATGTGTACGTATGCGTATCGCGACAGTTTGTTACGTTGTGTTTTAATGTTTTAAAAATTAAATAGTGAGTGTTTTAAAAAGCGAAATGTTCTCAAAAAAGAAAAAGAAACCTCAGATTTCTTCGCCAACCAATTTTGAGCACCGAGTCCATACTGGTTTTGATAAACGCGAAGGACGTTACACAGGTTTACCATTACAATGGGCCTCAATTGTTGGAAATAATCAGATTTTAAAGAGCACTAATCGCCCACTTCCTTTAGTTGATCCATCTGAAATAACCCCAACTGAAATTCTTGATTTAAAAACTATAGTTCGGGGAGATCACAAATCTGAAAATCGTCTATCTTTAAATCAACAACAAACGAAACAACTAAACTCCAACGGAATCGTTCTTCCTAAAACATCAAATGTTGCTCGATCAAACTCATTACGATCTTCCAGTCCTCCAAGATTACGCAGAGATAACAGACACACCAATGTACCTCCTTCAGTTCCCGAAGAACAAATTCTGCAATACCCATCGATGCGTAGAGATCCCAGCATCAGTAAGCCTCAAGTTGTTAGAGATGGATCCCCTGCAGAACGTTCTATAAGTAACCATGAGATACAAACTTCCCACATCAACGGAAACGTCCAAGACAACTTTGGTTTTCCCCCAAATAAAGATCCAAACCAAATTTCACCAGCTGGATCGATGAGTTCTGTTCCCCCCATGGGATTATCACATTTAGGGAATCATTCTCATGCAACCGGTTCACATCAAAGTTTGCAACACGCCGGATATCCACCAAGACCGGATCAAAATCAAAATGTGAAGAATGGTGGTGGGAACGGGGGGAATGTTGCTACTTCTTCAGCTGCTAGTGCTAATAAACATCATGAACAACGCCTTACTCATGAACAAGTAAAATATAAATTTTTACTTAATAAAAATGTTTTAATTAAAATGTATTTATTTTTAGTTTCGAGCTGCTTTACAAATGGTTGTATCACCACGAGATCCTCGAGAAAATCTCGAACAATTCGTAAAAATCGGCGAAGGATCAACAGGAACGGTATGCATAGCTCGAGAATGTAATACGGGTCGACAAGTTGCTGTTAAAAAAATGGATTTACGCAAACAACAAAGAAGAGAACTCCTTTTTAACGAAGTGGTTATAATGCGGGATTATCATCACCCAAACATTGTTGAAATGTTTGATAGTTACTTGGTTAATGATGAATTATGGGTGGTTATGGAATTTTTAGAAGGAGGCGCTTTAACGGATATTGTAACACATTCGAGGATGGACGAAGAACAAATAGCAACTGTTTGCAAACAATGTTTAAAAGCATTAGCTTATTTACATTCACAAGGGGTGATTCATCGAGATATTAAGTCAGATTCGATTTTATTAGCGCCTGATGGAAGAGTTAAGCTTTCAGATTTTGGTTTTTGCGCCCAAGTTTCTCAAGAACTTCCAAAACGAAAATCTTTAGTTGGGACACCGTATTGGATGAGTCCAGAAGTGATTAGTCGACTTCCTTATGGTCCTGAGGTGGATATTTGGTCGTTGGGTATTATGGTGATTGAAATGGTTGATGGAGAACCTCCCTTTTTCAATGAACCACCTTTGCAAGCTATGAGGAGAATCCGAGAGATGCCCCCGCCGAAATTAAAGAATGCTCATAAAGTTTCACCGCGTTTACAAGGATTTTTGGATCGAATGTTAGTGAGGGATCCCGCTCAACGAGCGACAGCCGCCGAATTATTACAACATCCATTTTTGAGATTAGCCGGGCCACCAGCTTTGTTAGTGCCTTTAATGCGTGGTGCGAAACATTCAACTTATTAATTAAATAATTAATTAATTTGTTTTTTTTTTTTTTTAATTTTGAGTCGTTCATTTGTGAATAATAGAATTTTTTAAGTACTTAATCTTTTTTATTAAGAAAAAGGAAAGGAGAATGTAAATATCTTTTTTTTTTTTTTTACTTTTTTTTTTTATTAATTAATTATAATAATTAAAGTATGTAAGTGTATTATATTGTTAATTATTGTTTGTTTAACTTGTTTTTTTTTTTTCTTTTTCTTCAGCTAAATTTTTTTGTAATCATTCTATTTATTTTTTTTTTATTAAAAACGTTCATCCTTCCAAAAACGAAATAAAAAGTGACCAGTATTAGATAGAAACCGTCCCAAATTGTGTGCCTTTGAGAAACGATTCGTAAAAATATACTCGAAAAAATATTTACTCATTTATTCCATTTATTAAAAAAAAAAAATCGCTATTTAATAATAAATAACTTGGTAGCTATCTTTGCTTTATAATATTGTTATCGTATGTTATAAAAAATTATTATTACTATTTGACTTTGTAATATGAAGACACTGTTTTTTTGTTTTTAAATTAAAAAATTAATTTAAGATAAATCGGCTGTTGAAAATTTTATATTTAAGACTGATTCGAAATTTAAAATCAATTTGAAATTCTAAAAAATGTCATAAAAAATAGTGGCTTCAATCTTTTTTTATATTTTATACAGCACTTTGTAATTATTGTATACAAATAGGCACAATATACGATTATTTTTCAAAAATGAGGTGCTTATTGGAGTATTTTACCTTGCTCAGATTGAGTATTTTTAGCAATTTCTTATTTAATCGTAAATTTACTTAAACGAAATCCTGGTGAGATTCGAGCATTTTTATACTCACAGTTGAGCTTGGAGCTTCTTAACCCTTTAACGCATAAGCCCAAAAAATGGCGAAATTGTACAAACCTGAGTCTCACTCGGGACAATCTGTAATATACAGACATGAATCTTTTGTTATCACGAAAAATAACCAGTTTGATTCATAGAAAGTTCCATTTATATTATTCGTTATATTTATACCTGAAAAATATTTGTTCTACAATATCGAGCTCTAACGACGGAGATTTTGATAACACTAATTTGATAGAAAGCGATTCAGATGATAGTGTTAGCTATTATGTGTCGTACAGTTCGACAGATGATGATAGAGTGAAGATCGGCTATAACGAGCATTCAAGGGAGTAAAAGAATCGCTCGTTATAACCAAGGTTGCCAAATATGTAATCTAAACTTAGTAAAAAGTAGTCACCCGTGGTTCTTAAACGGCAAAATCATTTATCATTTTTTTGTTACTTTATCAAAAATATATACAGTAATACAATAAAGTCTACATACACCCCAGAAAATGATACTATCTCAACTCCTGAAATATAATTCAATGAATTTTTTAAACGAAGGATATTAGAAGTAGTGATCGGCATATGGGCAAATTTTGCAAATAATCGATATCGGCAAAATTTTGCCGATAAATATCGGTATATTTAAGATTAACTGTTTTATACAGGTGTATCTAAATTGATGCGAAAGATTTTAAGGGGTGATTTTTCAACGAAAATTAAGGGTCTTTCATATAACTTTTTGGTCAAAACCACTTTTTTCTCCAAGTTACAGCCCTCTAAAATTAGGGGGAAAAAATTGTTTTTCTTTAATAAATCCACTATGGAGGAATTTGGAAGGATGAAATTTGGCCGATAACTATTACTAATAAAATTACACTTTTTGACGATTTTTATAATCCTAAAATGTTATTACAAGGGGGTGAGAAAATCCACCCCTACAATACTTTGCATCAGAACTTTTTAATGCGTCTACATTTTTCTATTTAAAAACTTGATTTAAATAGTGGGATTCAATACGCAACTTTTTTGTCTTTTAACATTTTCTCCTGAAATCGTTAGTTTGTTCATAAAAATAGTAATAATACACAAGCTCAAGTGAATTAATTCATATTGGTTATTATTAGTCAAAAAAATNTTTTTCTATTTAAAAACTTGATTTAAATAGTGGGATTCAATACGCAACTTTTTTGTCTTTTAACATTTTCTCCTGAAATCGTTAGTTTGTTCATAAAAATAGTAATAATACACAAGCTCAAGTGAATTAATTCATATTGGTTATTATTAGTCAAAAAAATAAAGTTATGTCAAATTGATCTCAGCATTATTTTATTTTTTGTCATCAAACTAACAATTTGAAATTTGAAATGTAAAATGTCAAGAGATAAGAAAGTTGCAGATTTTTTCTCCTAATTTTAGAGGGCTGTAATTTGGAGAAGTGGTTTTGTTGACCAAAAAGTTATATGAAAGACCCCCCTTAATTTTCGGTTTAAAATCACCCCTTCAAATCTTTCGCATCAATTTAGATACACCCTGTATATTTGAAAGTACAAACCCATTCAACATTTTTTTTTATAATAAAACAACTATAAATTATTTCTTTTTAATTTTTATTAATTCTTGGTCAATTAAAAAAGAAGGTTTTTAACCAAACTAAACAACATGTAGAGGTTAACTTTTAATGGCATTAAAGCCATTATATGAAGTAAAATTAACAAAACAAAATATTTATTGGGACCCGATTCTTGGATCGAAGTTTTAATTCGCATGAAAAAAAACGTAATTTTCATACAATTTAAAAGATAATTTTTACTTTTATTAATGTATATTAAATATGGAATAGTTATAGATCTTTTAAAAATGTGGTGCCGATACCGATATTATATGGGTAATTATTCTAGGTCTTGTGTTAGTTCTAGTGATAGTGCTAGTGTAAAACTAGAACTAACACTAGACCTACAACTAGAAACATTTGGGTTTAGCCGTGCGTCTTCAGACGCACGGCTAAATACTTATACAGTCATACAATAAAGTCTACATACAGCCCGGAAAATGATAATATCTCAGCTCCCGAAATGTAATTTAATGAAATTTTTTAACAAAACATGTAAGAAGTCCAGATTTTTTCCATATTTTACATAAAAACTATATAAGTTATTATTAATGAAGGGGAATACAAAACATATCTTTAACTCAAAAAAGTCTATATACAGTCCTAAAAAAAAAGTCTATACAGTTATAGACAGTTATAGCTCAATAAAAATATACAACTATCTAGCGCGGAATAACAAATAAAGCTAGACTAACACTAGCACTAGACCTAGAACTAGAAAGTATCTAGTTTCTAGTTCCAGTTAGCTATCTTGCGATTACAATTAATGATATTCAAAGTGACTAGGTACATACGAGGAGTGTAAATTTAGTAATGAGACTGGCAGGACTTGGGACGCATGACTTGGAGGAGCGACAGGTGCCTTGAGTACGAGTTTGAATTTGCTAAAGTCATTTGGTTGCCCGCAGCAATTTTTTTTCATGTTACAGTTTTTTTGTAATGCGTTCTAAAAATTTCGAGCAACGGTGTGCTATCAGGTTTTGCTTCAGACTTTGGCACAGTGCAACGGAAACTTTTGCAAAACTTCAGCAGGCCTGCGGAGACAGTGTTTTGTCAAGGGGTTTTGCCCAGGTGTTTCGGTGGTTTAAGTTTAATTCATTTTCAGAAGGAAGAGAGTCGATTGAAGATAAACCACCAAGCGGAAGGCCTTCATCTTCAAGAACCGATGAAAATGTCAGAATCCGGGATCTTGTTCGTCCAGATCGTCGGTTAACAGTCACAATGATCGGGGAAGAGTTGAATTTGATTCACACCACCGTTCATCAGATTTTGAGCAATGAAAAATCTACGCAAAAATTGTTTCAAAAAAACTTTCGCAAGACCAAAAGGACATCAGAAGGGAAAGACTTTTTGAAATCGATTGAAGATAATCCCCATTTTCTGGAACGTATCATTACTGGAGACGAGTCTTCGGTGTTTGAGTACGACAAAAAAATCAAGAATTAGCAAGTCGAAGATGCTGATTTATTTTTTCGATATCCAGTGAATCGTCCACAAACAGTTTGTGCGTCAAGGTCAAACCACTTTTACTGAGAGGTTCTTGAAAAACTTTGAAAAAGGGTCATTCGTGTGAGACCAAACATCAAAAACAACTGGGTGTTGCGATATGCACCTTGTCAGACTGCAATTTCAATAAACGAGTTTTTGGCCAATAAAAACATTCCTGTGACTCCTCAGCCACCTTATTCGTGTTATTTGAGTCCTTGTGACATTTTCCTCTTCCAGAGATTGAAAAATCACCTCATGGTGAATTCATTGTGGGACACTCGAAAATATTCAAACGGCTCTAAGTTTTTTTATTTTATTTAGAATTAGTACACTTGCACTGACGCGCGCGTTCCTTTTATCGCCATAAATGCCTGGCTAATGTCTTTTCGGTAGTCGGAATTCGCGTACCTGGAATCGTTAAGGTGTGTAGTATGTGTTTACGCTCAGTTTGCGTCATTAAATACGCATGTGACATGATTTCGTTTTAGTTTAAACAATGTTGATGATAGAGAAGTAAATTGGTTAACTGTAAAAGTGTTCTAAAATATTCTATTTATATTCTATTTCTAAAAAGATTTTATTTAGCCAAAATACAATATAAATCACTAAATTAATTTTAGTTTAATTCGAATCCTTATTAGAGACGTTTAACCCTGAAGTCGCCTTCGGAAATTATTAAAATGGGTATAAAACGTCAGCATCGACCTGGACTCTCTGTTTACATTGCTCTCTTAATATTTCTTTCCTTTTATGAAGCTAGTATAATTGGCGGGATTTCCTTAAATAGAATTCAATTAATACAATATCAATGTTAATTTTAACATTAACATAACCTTATAAATCATAATTAATAAACGTCAAATTTGACGTTTAATTTGAAGTAAATTAAATGTCATTTTTGATGTTTATTTTAACCTAAAAATTTTTTAACTTAAAAATTAATGTTATTTGTTTATAAGTATCTCTTAATCTATTTTTTTTTGTATTATTCTTCTTTTAGGTAATTCTCCAATCTCCTCCACGACGCGCGACGCCTCCAACCTCCAACGTTTCTCTCGTGCGTCAAAATAATAGAGCTCTACGATTGGTTAAAGGTCCTTGGACGTAAGTTCAGCTCCCGAATTCAATAGAGAGAGAGGAAACGGGCGCGGGCTTGAACAGCTGATGGGGAGCTCGTTGCTAGTAGTCGCTCATAGTTGTTCGCGAGCTTCAGCCGTGGATCAGCCATCCGCGGTTCCGGTCGCCACGAGGTATGATCCGTCTGAAAAAAGGAACTACCGGCTAAAGGAACATCGCCGTACAAAGAAATCGGGCGAGAATTTTTGGGGTGAAATGTGAGATGTGAATTAACTCCTTCCGGTTTTATCTCTCCAAGAAAGAGTTTTTCGCTTTATTTATTACAAAAAAAAACAAGAAGGTACCGAGAAAATGGGTGAGCGAGATCGTGTAACGAAGACGGCTATAAGGGTTGGATTCTATGATATCGAAAGGACCATTGGTAAAGGAAACTTTGCCGTGGTCAAATTGGCTAGACATAGAATTACAAAAACCGAGGTAACAATTTCTATTTAACAAATTAGTTATAGAACAAAAACAATTTCAAACGAAACGTTTACGTTTAATTAAGTGGAAAAACGTGCGGCTCGTGCAATTAGAACCTTTCCTAGAAAAATTGATTCTTTCAAATATTAAAAGCCAACCGTGACGTCAATGCGTGTCACTTGCGTCATAGATACAAATATAATCCTGGCAAATTAGAAGTTGCACTTTGGAATGATTTAAATAAAAATTATAAAAGAAAAATTACTCTTCCCATTTAACACTCTTATTATTTAAACGTCAAATTTGACGTTTAATATAACCTAAAAAATTAAAGTCGATTTTGACGTTTACCTAACCTAAAAATTTTTAAAATCAAAATCAATATTTAATTTTAAATTATCACCTTAGTATTCAAGTCATTTTCTAATATATTCTCCGATAAGTGAAAAATAAATAATAGACTTAAATTTCATTGTTGGATTACGTCAAATTCATTTCTATTCTATCAAGATTTCGAGGTCATTAACAAAAGATAAGTAAATTGAAAAAAAAGTGATTAATTTATTAATGAGGTAATAATTAAAGTGTTAAAAATTCCCTTAATAAGTATAGATAAGGTAAAAATAGATATAAAGTGGTATTCGATGAAATCACGATTAATTCGTTATCGAAGAAAAAAAGAATCTAAATGGTGTTAAAATAAACAAGAAATTTACCGGTTTATTTTAAAATGCAACAACGTTAACGTTTATTTGCTTTTGGAGCAAAAAGAAAAACAAACATTTAATTTTTTTAAAGAATTCGTTAATTTTGACGTGTAACGTAACCTTAAAAAATTACACCTTTTTGACGTTTATTTAACCTAAAAAAAATTTACGTCAAAATCACGGAATTAATATTTTTATTGTAAACATGATGCAATGCTAAATATTTATAAAGTAACGTTATCTGTTGGTTTCCTCAGTCAGGTTTTATCAATAACACAATTTACAAAGCAAAATATATGAAATGTTTCATTTCAAAAGTAAATTTATTATTAGCTTAGCGTTGAATCATCAAAAATGTTCAAAACGGAAAGGTAACAAGTCGCTGCCGCGTTTTGACGTAAAACGAGCAACAAAATGGGCTTTTTGCACGTCTCGTGACGCAAATCGGCTCTCTCGGGGGAGACCTCGAACAAAAGATCTGGAGCAGAAATATCCTTATCGAGATTTTCAATGCGAGGGGGAAACTCCTTTGCACAAAGATTATTGGACATCCTTCACCTCGTGTGTTGCCCGAATTGACGTCACGACTGACGCACATTGTACTTTTCTCTAACACCAATGGATTAGTTTTAATGAACAAATGTAAGGTTCGATGACAATAACAATAATGAACCTAATTGAACCGTAATTAATTATATATCAAATTGTCGTAAAACACGTTTGTTGTTGAAACATTAATTTATTGTAAAAAAAATTTTTTTAATCTTTTTTAGGTTGCGATAAAGATCATTGATAAATCCCAATTGGATGCGAGTAATCTTCAGAAGGTTTATCGTGAGGTGGACATCATGAAGAGGCTCGACCATCCTCACATAATAAAACTGTACCAGGTTAGTGCCGGTGGCGGTTAAGGCCGATGGCCCCCGCGTATACTCTGAAATCCCCCTGAAAATCGATTTTAACGTAGTACACTCGAAGTTGCTCTGTCGAAGCTGCACCGCTTCGCTTCGGTGTTGTACGCGAAGTTCGTTAGCACCACCTTCAACTTGACTGTCCTCGAAGCGACGGGCGTCGCGACGTTGTTTCGACGTCATCATCGATGAACAACTTTTTGGCAATGACGCCAAAAATAATTTTATTCGAACGGTTTCATGTTCATTTTATTTTTTTATGCAAATAAAAATTTTATTATAATTTCGCAAATTCTAAACAGCAACAAATTAATAATAAAGTGATACTAAATGGCAATTAACGTTCGATTAACATTATGTTAATCGTCGATCAAAGCTCGATAATAGAATATTTAATGATACTTTGATCTTGATTGTAACTTCGCTTTATTAAAAGCGCATGACGTCTTTTGTTAATTAACTTTTTGTTTGGATTAACAAATTAGGCCGTTAAATCATTATGTGATTTGATTCAAATTAACCTGGCGCTAATTGAGATTTATAAAGTTGTGGCTTAATTAATGCGATACAGTTTATCGATTATTCCATTTTTGCTTATTTGTGATCCTAACCACGGGTTAATATTTGATTAACGTCAAGTTAAGTTTTTATAAGATCCACGTAGACCTAAATTGATGTAAATGGATTCTGATAATTATTTTACACGAATCTCTCTAACTTGATCATCGTAAAGCAAAAATAAATGAAGAACCCAAGAAACCGGAAGTGGTTCTTTTACAACTTGACAAAAACTGGAGTTTCTCTTTGAGATGTTGAACCACTACACTGGTGCCTTATTAGGGATGAACATCAGAAGAACCAGAAATAAACCACCGCTGAACTTCGGTGCTCTTCTTGCCACGCCGCAATCTGCTGTTCAAAAAAGAGTAGGTTAGGACAACGCTATTCCTAATACATCTATAACCATTTTCATCGATGAAATCAATAAACACGCGCAGATTTCTTCTTCTATTATCATCTCATCGATGTTGAAGATGTTCAGAAGACATGGAGAAACGGAGAAAGAAGCAGGAGCCATAATTCTGCGTGCAGCAATGTAAATGCAATGTTGTCTGGAGACGTTGATCCAAAACTCGTCAAGGAATTTGCGCCAGAATTACACCGCATACCTGCTATTCGTTCATGACAAAGGGATATGGAATGAAATCCAGAGATATCACTCGAGTTGAAATACATCACCAAAGGGAAGTTTCTAGAAACATACAGTGCTATTTCTGCTAGCTTACGAGCACGTTTTACAAAACTGCTACGCAGTACAACGATGTATAACTTCCTAAAAACACTAAAAAGAATACTTTATTTCCAAAACTTGTCTCTCCAACATCTCAATGTGAGACTAAATCCGTTGTCACAAACCCCAAATCAAAAACCATACCATTTCCCACACCAGTTAAGATTGTGTATTGGCCTCCTGAACCAAAAAAAGGAACTAGCACTACCACCTCATCTAACAAAAGTGCTTACAAACAACATTGTCTTCTTTGATATTCAATATTTTCGTGAGGGATCTAAACGCAAGGGTTAAATGCCATCCGATAGAAATTTCTAAGAGTCGCTGTTACATTTTACGACAACTCTGCCTAACTGAAGATCTTCGACCAACTATTTGTGGGACGTGGATTACTGCTTTCGTAAGAGACACTTCATCGCATATTCGAAGCGGTAGATTTTATCGACTTTCTGTGGAATGTTTAACAGACGAAGTAAGCTTTCAACAAACTACTACAACTCTCAAAATCAAGCTGTAATGATCCACGATGCATCTGGTATCTTAGGAATCAAGCATAGACTCAAATTATTTAAAAAATCAAGTTCATGTCTATGCATTTTAGTGTGTGAGGAACAATACCATCTACCGAATTTTTATTACAAACAGAAATTTATTTTATATTCGTCAGAAAAGTACTAGACAACTCCGAAGAGGTACAGAAAGTACCAAATTTGTGCCAACTGAGAATGAACCTCAACAAGATCGCACAAATAATCACCAAATCAACATTTTATGTAAGCTTTCTTTGCAAAGTGGGAACTTCTTATATGTCAGAACTGCTTTATACTTTGTTCAGAAAGTGTCGGATTGGTGTAGGTTACGATCTATCCGTGTATTTCATAAGCAGGTAATATGGATTGACCATCTTCTTATCCAACACGATAGCAAATCTTAATCAAAGGAACTAAAAACTCATTCTCCGCTTCCTGTGTATTGAATTAAGTATAACGAGGTTCAGTCAGAGCTTTTTGAGATTGAAGTCAAAATAATTAGGCAGCAACAACTAATTTGCGTATGGGATGGAAGACCGGGTCAATGACCTCGGCGGCTTTACTAGTAAGCATTTACTCTTGTTGATACAAACCTGAGAATTCAAAAAGTCAGAAAGATAAATAAACCCCAACAGTGTTAAATCTAGGTTAAATTTGTCTTGTAACTGGAGGAGTACTAAAGTTGTGAATATATGTTATATTGCAAAATAACCCGGAGGATGTATTCACATTTCATCAAGATTATTAGATTCTTCGTGTAATAAATTGCTTTAAAGTTAGCCACAATTTGTTATATTATAAAATTGTTCTATAGTAACAGGCCCCAGCACCGAGGAGGATTGGAAGGATTACTTCCTGTCTAGATCTGAGATTCTGGTTATTTTTAGTACCAACCTAAATCTAGTTACATCCTAAAATCACTAAATTTAGGTTGGTCACTTTCCCTATACTTTTACATTGAGCTCTGACGTCACAGGGGCAACTTCCTATCTACTGATAACATCCCATCTTTCATATATCCTCTGGTGATAACCCCTTTTAGAGTGAGATTACCTTCTAAGGTTAACGATTCTTTATTTTGTGTTAGAAAAATCTTATTAAATGGTAAATCTTTTATTTGGAACTTAACGATATAATAATTTTGATAATTTTCTTTTTTTTTCAGGTTATGGAAACAAAAAATATGATATATTTAGTATCGGAATATGCAAGTCAAGGAGAAATTTTTGGTAAGTACTAAATTATCTGATTAACAAATTCATACACCAGTTGAATTTTTCCCTATTAAATTTGTGTTTTCCCCTTTTTTTTATTTTCTTTTGATTCTTACCCGACTATTTAGGCGACAAGTTGGCCGCCCGCCAAATGGCGGTATATTTAGAAAGAGCATCACACCGAGGCTACCAACGCGTACCGAAATCAAGGTTACGCTTTTCTGTCATCTAAACCAAACTTAACTATCAAAAAAAAATCTCCTTTAACTTTTTAATTAAAAATAAGTTCTAAAATTAAATTCTTTTATAAGAAAAAAAATCTTTACAGATTACATAGCGCGGTATGGTAGGATGACTGAAGAACAAGCAAGAGGAAAGTTTTGGCAAATTTTGTCTGCGGTTGAATATTGTCATAGTCGTAATATCGTACATCGAGATTTAAAGGTAAAAAAATCGTCTTGAGTTCTTTTTTTGTTTGTTTGTTCGTATTGTTCTCATCAAACCACCCTTAATCGTAAAGTTTTAGTTCATCCTCTATCCTTCTTCTCTTTTCAATTCGCGCGAGTCCGACCTAACTCACCACCTACGCTGAAACACGATGACGTCATTTCGAGGGGTAGGATCGATGCTGAAACCGACGGCAGCGTCACACAGCGGAATAAACTAGACAAAAAAAAATCAAAAGAAAAAAAGATACAAAATCAACTAACGGAACAAAAATGATTGGATACTTTGAACTAAACTTTTTAAACGAAATCGGATTTCGGTTTTTCAGTTTGATAAACGATTTCCTGCGGTAACACTAAATTATTACTCAAACTTTCAAAACAAACCCGTTAATCAAAAATAGAGGGAAACATCAAAAGTTTTTGTCCCAAAAATTTTCGCAACGACAAACACCTTTTTGGTTCTTTTTTTAGTATTTTTACCCGAGTATAGGTAGATAGGCGATATCTCGAGTACACTTGTTTGGTTCGACGTCGGGAAATTTATGGAGTTCGATCGATACTTACTACTAGGTCTAATGACCAATATCGACACCATTTCGATAAAGTAATATTGCATGTATTTTGTGATAAATAACCTTAATCTTGTTTATATTATCTCAAAAAAAAATTATTTTTAAGTTATGTAGGTTGAGTTTACAATCTTTTAATGTAAATCAATTAATGAAAAATTTAATACGACGAATTGAAAATATTAATTAATGAAATTACGATATAATCACTTTAAAAATGATATTAATCAAATCTTTTTAGTAATTTTGATTATTTGATGTTGGTAGATTTGAAAATCGGCCATTTTGGTCAATCTTGTTTTAATTTTTTTAATGGCGAAAAATTTTTAAATTTAAACGTGGTATCGAAAAATATCTACTGGATACTGCTACCAGATGAGTAGATACTGCTAATAAATGAGTAGATACTGCTAATAGATGAGTAGATACTGCTTGCAAACTGAATACTGATGGCAGAAAACTATATTCTGCTCTTGCAGGATTAGACATTGCTAATAGAAGATTAGGTACTGCTGGAAAATGACTAGATACAGTTGGGAAATGATTAGGTAATACTGGCAGAGGACTACATACTGCAAACAGAAGCGTACATAGTGTTATATAAAGCTCGGGTAGTTCAACCATAAAAAGATTTTGCATTACTGTGGGTGTGATAAATTTGTTCATACCAAATTCTCGGTATACCAAACTTACGTTTTACGGTTACGAATCAACTTTGTATAAATAAATACTTATCCAATAAAGTGTCAGTTTTTGTTTCTGCGTAGATATTGCTAATGGATGAGTAGATACTGCGAATAGATGAGTATATACTGATAATAGATGAGTAGATACTGCTTGCAAACTGAATACTGATGGCAGAAAACTATATTCTGCTCTTGCAAGATTAGACATTGCTAATAGAAGGTTAGGTACTGCTGGAAATGACTAGATACTGTTAGAAAATGATTAGATAATGCTGTCAGAGGACTACATACTGCAAGCAGAAGCGTACATATAAAGCTCGGGTAGCTCAACCATACAAAAATTTAACATTACCGTTGGTGTGATAAATTGGTTCATTCTAAATTCTCGGTAGGTATACCAAACTTAAGATTCTACTTCTAGGTCTAGTGTTAGTTCTACTTTTACTTCAATAAAAATGTACAATAATCAATGTACAATTAGCACTAGCATTAGAACTAACACTAGATCTAGAACTAGAAACTTTCGGATTTAGCCACACATCTCTTCGAAACTGGTTTTAAAGAAAATGAGAAATTTTACTTCATTAAAAAACAATTTAGTAAATATATTCATAACCTTAACAAAATTAATCCTTGATTCCAAATAATTGATGAGAACTATTTTTTTAAACACATTTTTATAAAATTGTATATCAAAATTGTAATTTTCCAGGCTGAAAACCTCCTCTTAGACAGTAACAATAAAATTAAAATTGCCGATTTCGGGTTCTCGAATTATTTTAAAACCGGGGGACAACTATCTACATGGTGTGGTTCCCCACCTTACGCAGCGCCAGAAGTTTTCGAGGGCAAAAAGTACACCGGTCCGGAAATTGATATTTGGGTAAGTTAAAACCATAAAAAAAATTTTTATTTTGCATATTCTTATCATTTTCATTTTTTATCATTTCAGAGTTTAGGGGTTGTCCTATACGTTTTAGTATGCGGAGCCCTACCTTTCGACGGTTGTTCTCTCCAAGCCCTTCGTGATAGAGTCCTATCCGGCCGATTCCGGATTCCTTATTTTATGAGTTCCGGTAAGAACAACAAGTCATACTATTAAATTAAATACAATTTATTTTAAAGAAATTAAATTACAAAATACAGCTTATTTTTTTTTAAATTTTATTTTGGTGTCATTTTACTTTGGAGTCATTTTACTTTCAGATAGAACACTTTCTTTAGACCCTTTCTGGTTCGTATTTTCAACTTTTTCATCCGTTTCTACAGTATCGGTTGTAGCCCAATATGAAACTTCTTGAGGTGTATTTCCAGGTTGTGTCATTGGTACCGGTGGGGAAGCTTCTGTTTTTATTTGAAGAGTTGCTCTTTTTTCAAGTGTTGCATCGGCCGTTTCAGGTATTTTGCTTTCTTCATCGACGTTTATTGTATCTTCCAATGGAGGGATATCATCACCATCCGTTAATGGCAAAATAGAAGGGTTTGTGTGTTTTCCCCGTTGTTCTTCTTCATTTTCTAACTCTAATTTAACGTCAGTTGGGAAATTTTCATCCGATTTAATATCATTTAATTTAGGAGTCGGGCTTGTGTTACTTGGAGTTTTTATTTCTTTATCTGTATTTTCTTCATTTTCTTGTTGTTCTACGTCGGCGTCGGTTGCTTTATTTGGGATGTTATCATCGGCTTGAAAATCTTCTAATATAGAAATTGGACTTGTGTTACTTGGAGTTTTTAATTCCTTATCTGTACTTTTTTCATTTTCTTGTTCTACGTCGATTGGTTCATTTGGGAGGTTTTCATCGGCTTGAAAATCTTCTAATCTATAAATTGGACTTGTGTTACTTAGAGTTTTTAATGTATTATGTGACTGTTCTTCATTTTCTTGTTCTACGTCGATTGGTTCATTTGGGATAATTATTATTTCATCTGGTTGTATTTGAATAGGTTCATCTTCAATTTGTGTTGTTTGAGTGTCTTCTTGTACAACTTCTGTTGTGTCAGTTTTTGTTTCTTCCGATTTTGTTTCGGGTTTATCGTCAATTGAAGTTTCTTTCGTTGCTGAACCACTTTCTAACTCAATATATCGATTAACTATAGCGTTTGCTTCAGGGTTATATTTCGATATTCTTTTGTATGATAATTCGTCGTAAAAGCAATGTTCGTGATCGTCTGGGTCTGCTAAAACAATTATGCGATATAATTCTTTATCGTTTGATTTAACAGTGGTAAGCGGGGTGATGATTTTATGTTTCGAATGGGTTATGTTTCGTTCTATTTTAGATAGTTGAGATAAAGGACAAGTAAAAGTTAATCTTCCAAAAGTGTCTGCGTGAGATATATTTGAATCGATTTCTTGAAATTCCAGGATAAATGCGTTGTTTTTGAAAGAAAATCCGCATAATTTCTTTTTATGATCCAAAGAACATATGTTTAACCCTAAAACCCCGTTCCAATATTTCACCGTTTGTTTCATATTGGTAGTGTTTAAAGTAATTTTTTGTATAGGGTCGTAAAGTCTTGGTAAAGGCTCTTGAACTATAATAAATTTGTATCCACCCGGCGAAACTAATACGTTCCCTTCACTTACAGACCAATTATTCTTCGCCGCTTGTTTCAAACATTCACATCCTTTAATGGTTATACTACACAAATCATTTCCTACATCGTAATTTTCGTTATTATAACTGTACACGATTTCAAACGCGAAAAATCTATCTTCCGGCCCATACCCGACCATTGTTTTACTCCAAAGCGTCCCGCAAAAACCCCTACATGCCGGTCCACACCCAGATGCAAATTCCTCGTGCCTTAAAACCTGCATTCCTAAGACGTTTTTAAAAAAATTTAACGCTTCTTTACGATCTGGAACTCTAAGCACATAACTTGTGAGTCTCCCATTAATTACTAAGGAAGAACATCCAACGCAATCATCAGATTCATCGATATCAACCGTTCGTTTTCGGAAAATAGGGAGGGGGAGAGGAGGACATTTAATTTTTTTCATCTTCCATAATTAAGATTTTGAATTTTTTTGAAACGAATAAAAATAATGATTGATGAATAACCTAATTTAATGACATTTTTAAATTTAATGTATGTTAGAAATATCGGCCACTTTGATTAATTTTATTTTATTTGATATAAACTGATTCTCGTTATTATCAAAGATAAAATTCCCTAACAATCAGCAGGAATAACAGATTTAGAAATCTTTTAAAACAAGAATATATAGGATGGAGTCCAAGATGCACAATCGATTTGATTATCAATAACTCTATTTTCATATCTCACCTGCTCTTCAAACACTCCTTAGCCACTTAAACATCTTGAATACCTTTCGTAATAATTCACAAAAGTCTTATATTGTACAAAGGATGATTGGGTTGGGTTGGGTTGGGTTGGGTTAGGTTAGGTTGGGTTGAGTTGGGTTGGGTTGGGTTAGGTTTGGTTATGTTGGTTTGGGTTGGGCAAGTCTCAATATAGCCATTTGCCTATGTTAACGCAAATAATAATGAAACTAGTAAAACCATTATAATTATATGTAATCTTTACTGTCTAAACATAGATAATTTTTATTCTTCCGTTGAATTGGCAGATCTTCTCGTTTTACACTAAATAGATAAGAATAGGAAAAGTCAGATGGAAAGATCAACGGGACATAATCTTTGTACCAATTCTGTGGAAACTACAAAGAGGAATACAACAGTAAGCAATCCCAATGTTGCGATGGACTGTAATTTGACAATGGGTGGTGTTGATAGGATAGACCAGCGTTTCTTAAACTTTTGATGAGTTATTATGGAACCCCTGGCATCATTCAATTTTTTTAATGAAAGATTTTAATGCAATGAATGTACAAATAAATAATTCGCAACAAAAATTAGAGTTATTTTAGATAACATTTATTTGCTTCAAAAAGTACTTTCAAAATTAATACAAAAATGGTTGTATATTGATAATAAATGGGTTTTTAATCCACAGATCTTGTAGATATTTAATCTGCCTGTCGTTCGGAAAATATTCATTAAAAGCTTCACTCAAGCCTTTCAGGTGTTGAAGAACTTCTTCAATAAATGTCTGCCCTATTTCAATCTTTTCCTCTTCCAATAAGTCTTATAGTTGCGAAGTAATCATATTCATTGAAGCGCACACAAATTATCCAAAATTCTATTTTTTAAACAAAAATTTACCTGTTTGCCTTGAAGTGTTAAATTAGAATTATTGATCTTCGTAAAAATATGCAATTTTAAGCAGCCAATTGATAGCAAAAATAGCTTTATCCAAAATCTAGTGTCTCCCCTTATCTATTTTCAGTTCTTCTCTGACTATGTACCCCCGAATCTCCTTAGCCAACCTCAACACCCACCTCCAATATCTAGTCTCTTTTCATCCCCATATTTTCGCCCCATCTTGTTGAAACCATATTTCTTCTGGTGGTAAATTGGGATTGTTATTGTTCGGAATTAATTGTCTAAACGGTTCATTTCAGCGGTCAAATTTTCATCTATTAATGTTGTGTCAACCAATAAAGCCACTCCAAACAAGTTCAACATCTCGAAAATGGTTAAGTTTAAGTTTATGATGTGCTATGTGAACTAAAACTTTTGTATCTTAACATTTTTCGCTAGCTATCTTACTTCAGGAGATAACCGACCGTTCCGCCTCTCTACGTCTCCTCGCTGCCATCATATCCCCCATTTCCTCCCTTTGGCCTTCTCCTCCATCACCTGGTTCCTCAACTCATCACACTCTACCAGCAGATAGTTTAAAGACTCCCAGCTCTCCCCACACAGGCTACAACTCATCTCCTCATCGTTTATCTAATATCTATTAACCCTCTTTTCGTTACCACACCTAAATCTGGTCACCAACCTCATCTCCCTCTGCTATCAAGTACTTCCGCCTACACCCTCCTTATTTATTTTCATTTCTTCTCTGACTATATACCCCCGAATCTCCTTAGCCAACCTCAATACCCACCTCCAATATCTGGTCTCTTTCCGTCCCCATATTTCTACTCTATACTTGTTATCAAGCATTATCATCCTATTATTAGTACACAGTATTTATCCCTAATTCAATGTTGTCCCTCTCTGTATTTTTGGAATTAGTTAGAATTTCAGTAACTCATTCCTCACATTTTTTAAGACTTGCATTGCATAGTTTATAGTTCCTTCCATGTTTTCCCCCATAATTGCTGAAGCAACTTTACTTTCTTCAATCCCTCGTCCGCAGCATTAAGTTTCTGTCACTTTTTCGTTATCAAATGGTGGAGACAACTCCGTTGGAAACTAAATGTCATTCCATAGACAACGTACTAAGTTGGGAATCACCAGGAATTGTTATTTGCATTAGAACACCATCAATAGCAAATCAGTTCTTCTCATTTATTTCATATCTTATTAGGTGCTGACCAGCAACCTCTTGTTCGATTCTATGAGGTCAAAATTATGGGATGCTTGTTGACACCAGATTTCTTATAAATTTCCACGAGTACAAATTGCATAATGCTGCAATTTTTATATTATGTTGGGCTACATCTTGATTATGTATCTCATCTCAAAAAACTTCAAATTAACTTTATCATCAACCAAAGAATATCGACCTGATATAATAACATAATCTATTATTTAAATTATTTTTGAAAAAAGTATTTTTTTTATAAAAATGAATGATTAGATTAATAAATAATTGATTTATTTTCAGATTGTGAATCTCTGATTAGAAAAATGCTTGTATTGGAACCATCAAAAAGGTACTGTGTCGCTCAAATAAAAAGACATCGTTGGATGCAAGTTGAGGTACCACCAAGTTTACCTCCATCCGTCCCAGTAACTAATGCCCAACCGAGTGAGCAAATTTTAAGGTTAATGCAAAGTTTGGGTATTGATAGTTCCAAAACGAGGGAGTCGATCCGTTTGGGTAGTTACGATCATTACGCAGCTATTTATTATCTTCTCTTGGATAAATTAAGAAATCAATTGATTAGCGGTGAAAATCAAGGAACGAGAGAAGTTCGACGTAGACCTTCGAATATAGCGGAACAAGCGATGAGGAAAATTAATAGAGCAAGTACTAGTGAAGATTGTCGAAGATTATTGCATTCATCGACGGCCCCAACTGCTAGCAATAGTAAATTGAATTCTTCACCGCGAAATTGCGAATCACCACCTTCTATTCCTTCGCATGGTATTGATGCTGCAAAGTTATTATCGGCTACTACAAGTGAGGATGCATTAAAAATTTTACAACAAGCTAGTAATGCTAGTTTTAATATATCTACGGAAGCTTCAAAATTAATGTCTACACTTCAACAAACTCCAGTTCCTCTTCCAACCGGAAGCGAAGTGCCACCATTTCGGGATTTTGCAAATCACGTTCACACTTATTCTTTTATGCAAACAGCCATGTGTTCCGCAACTACCAGTTTAGATGGCGATACTAAAGGATCATTAAGCAGATTTTGTTCTGGGTAAATAATTTTATTATCCTAATCCTGCATGAACGTTTTGTTTTTTTTTTTTCTATCTTTTTTAGTCCATTCACTTTATTTTTTTTCACTTGTATTCAATGGGTAATTGGGATTATTAAGTCGAAAAAATGGAGTTTAGAAGGTAATTAAGTTACCTTCTAAAATTAACGACGAAACGGTTGTTAATATTTTAAATTTGTTTCAGAAGTTATAGAAGCGGTGAGATTCAAACTCAATACTCAAGTTCAACGGATGAAGGAGTTGAAACGGATGTGGAAGATCACACCCCCAGATTAAGTTACGCATCTTCGAGTTCATCGAGCGGCGTTGCGGCAAATTTTAACGCATCAAAAAGTCTTTCACAAAATCTTAGTTGTGACAGTAACTTTGAAAGCTTAGAATATCCTCTTTCAGAGTCGAGCGAGCTCACAAGTAGTTTGCCTAGTTGCACAACTCAGGAACGCACACTTCCAGAGCCGGTTTTAACGAGTTCCAGTGCGATTTCATCACCTATTCCTGGATATTCAATAAACGCTAGAGCGGCAGCTTTAATGATGCACAATAAACAAAATCCTCTGGTTCATATGTCGAGTTATAAAGCTTCGAGGGCTTTAACACGAAGCCCCGTTGATTTTCGTGAAGGTCGCAGAGCTAGTGATGGGTTGGTTGCGCAACAAGTTGTGGAAGCGGGGGGTGCTGTAATCGCGTTTAACTCACAAAAGTTGAACGAAAATTGTAAAACGAAAGGGGTTTTAGATATGCATTTGGTGCAAAGGGAGGCGCAACGATTACAATCTCAATATCAAGCGAGGGAACATCCGGATGAGATTTCGCAACGTCAAAAACAGCACAACCAATATTTGCAGCCGAGTAGAGGCAATAAGCGAATTAGTTTACCAGATAATTTTAGTTACACGGAACAACCTTTACATTTACAAACTGCTATGCAACATCGCCTGTTACAGCAAAAACGCCAAATCTTACAAAAACAATGCGCGATGTCGCATCAAGTTCCAAGCGGGAATAACGAACTCCCGATTATGAGAAGACAAATGTTGCGACAAGCCAGTTATAAAATTGCACAACAACAGCCGGTATTACCTCCTTTACCTCCCCTCAACGATACAGAGAGCAAAGACTTATTGGCTTTCCAAGCCTTGGTAGAGGGCTCTGGCGAAGCTTGGAATGCCCTACCAAATTCGTTGCAGAGTTCCTGTCAAATCTCTGAAACCGCAGCTCCAACCACAACCTGGCAAACTCCATCCACATGGAATCAGGTACATTTGTAGGAGGTTAAAAGTGTTTTTTTTGCATGGTTTATTATTTTAGTTTATTTATTTTCTGTACCGTTTCTGGAATAGTATTTTATTTTACTAAGAAAATTATAATGAATTCCTTTTAAAAAGTTCGTGTGATATTTGCTTGTTTTTATTTTTAAGTTTTAACATGTGTTGTTCCTAAAATTAAATCAATAAGATTAAATAATCTAGAATTAAATAATTAAAACCTATTTTTAATTTATTTATGGTATTTTATCTGTGAGATGTCCCCTTTTTAATTTTTAGTACAAAAAACGTATTATTTTATCATTAAAAAAATTTACTTTTTATTATTTATTTATTATTTTGTTACCATTAACAGCATGAATGATTAATTAACCTAATATTCCTTTATTTTTAATGAATAAATATAAATTAGGGACCTCACTTGCCATCTTCAGCTTGGCCTCCGCTGTTGCCACTCAGCGAAAGTCCAATTCTAGAGTTGACTGAGCAAATGGAATCAATGTAAACGAAACTTGCAAAAAAAGATTTTTTTTGTGTAATCTTTTTTCACAAGAACGGTAAAAGTTGTGTCAAATACGTAAAATAAAAAAAAATCCTAAAAGGAAAATAAGGAATAGACTCGTAACTTTTAAAGTGGGAAATCATGTCGCGATTGAAACGAACTAAAAGCACCTACTAGCTATTATTGTAATACTTTTAACGAAATAATTAAACTGCCAAGGAGTAAATTGCGGTAAATTTCCTGCCTTAAAAATGTTTTTTTGTTACGCCAAGTAGCTTTAAATAAAAAAATTAATACTTAATTGTAGGGATATTGTTATCAAAAAAATAAAAAAAAAGCTTAGGGGTATTATTAATAACACTAAATTAATAATAATAATAATAATAATGGTATTAATGAGCCGAGGACTAATTTAAAAAAATGTCAATGAATACAGTTGATTAGAATAAAAAATAAAACGCATATAACAAAAAAAAACAACACGAGAAGGTCTTTGAATGTCTTCCAATCTATACATGACATTCTTTTTTGAATTACAAATCGTACACTAAAATAGCTAAACGACTTTTTTGTGCAATAGTGCCTGTATTAAAGACTGTAGTTTAAAAACTAGAACTTGAATCGATGCTATTTGTATTAATCATGTGTTTATTAAAAAAAATACATTCAAAAATGTAATCAATACATTAACTTATACTTAATTATTATTAAAGCTTCAGGTAATAACATTAAATTATAAACATTTGTTTCTAGTTTAAGCTTGTACAACATCCTAAAATTCAAGTGAAAAATGAATTTGATACGATTAACAGCAGGGCGGTGGTATAAAACATGGCTCAACCCTTTCTTCGTCCTCCACACATAATTAATACTAGAAGATACTAAACAGACATCGAAGCTTTGGTAATAATTTGAAAGTACTTATATTTATATCTGTATTCGTTGACGCGAGTTTGAGAACAAAAAGCAATGGTCAATTTACTGAGATACTTATTAAAAAATTCGAGGGAATAAAAAAAATTGTAACAAAAAAGAAAAGAATATTAAGAAGAAAACATTCCAAAAAGACTAATTGTAACTTATTAACGTAAACTGGTTTGTGTCGGATGAAAAAAAGAACTTAAAACAATCAAAAATGTATAAAGTATGTAACCAGAATCGAACTGTAATATTCAGATAATAATAATTATTATATTAAATTAATATAATACGTACTAAAAGAATCGGCCACAAGGAAAATATTTACCAAGAAAAAAAATTTGGAAACGAGTAGCTCACAAAATTTCTCGTAACTCGATTATGAAAAGATTAATGAATAAATAAACAAAATAAGCATTCGTGGGGCATCGAGGTACATAACGTTAATTAAATTAAATTCATCATAAACCATTCACATATCAGGTAGATTTTAAAATAAACCTCCTCTAAAAGATATAATCCATGATGTCATTATACATTATTTTGTGGCTCAATGCCCACGACGAAGTGTAACTTTAATTTTTATATTTGAACCTAATTTGTTTAGTAGAAACGTGTTAGAATATCGATTTAAAAAACTGCATAAACTAATAATAAACCGTAGCTTCAAACTCGTAATCTATTGTTAGCGGACAGCAATAATATATTTGTATATTTGTAAAGGTGCCTCGGTTATGTTTGAATGGAGGTTTTTTTGGCTTTTGTTAATTGTTCATAAATAAAATTGGAAAAATTAGTGAAATTTGTGTTGACCTTATTTTATGCAACCCAATTAACATAAAGGTTATACATTTTGAAGTTGGTACCACTGATTCAAAATCCAACCATTTCTCTTAAATGTCACCTGTCAAAATGTACCGTTGTGTTTATATTATTTAAAATCATTGTTAATCCTATGAAATAAGCAAAAAAAAGTGTGTCAATCGTGTTAGTTCACGTAATTCGTGATTTCGATCCGATTATAATAAGGATGGATCATTTGGCGCAAGATTTATCCGTTGCTTTGGAAGAATCTGAATCTTGCGGCGCTATGATTTTAGATGGTGGTAGAAAATGGGGCATTCGACGAAGAACTCGTTCGGCAGGAAATTTACGTAAGACATCTCTTTAAACGTTATTGCATAAATCGAAAAAAAAAATCGGCCATTTTCATTGCTTAAAAATCATTCAATTCATTAAAAAACATAAAGGTCAAGTTCATTTTTATTAAAAAAAGTTAAATGTGTCATTTAGACCTTTACGTTAATAAATCTGGTGACAACCAATCTGAAGACAGCTCAAGCAGCAACTCAGAGGTCAGAGTACCAGAACGTAACAGAACGAAATATCACTCCGATTCGGATGATATGTCGATAAGTTTCGCTGTTGGTCGTGCAATAAATTCGCGATCCCACTCGTTAAGGGTTAAATCATCCCTTCATCACTTATTCCGTACTACGCGTTACAACAAAATGGGTAAGAAATTAAATTTTACACCCATCTTGATGATTAACCCCCCTCCCAATAAAGAATTTAAATCAAAATCACTAATCTATCTCTATATTAAAAAAAAATTAGGCGTTTTAGGGATGAGTTTAAGTCTTGAAAGTGACTCATTCAACGAACATTCACCGGCCAGACCAAATTTACGACGTAAACGTAAATTAAAAAGGATGAGCATCGATGAAACACCTATTCCACCGTGTGGAAAACGCAAAAGACCCCAGAGATTCGAAATGATTGATAATAATCGCGGTTTCGGACAGAAAATTAAACCTTTACATCAAAGTGTTGTGGATAAAATCGAAAAGTTTTGCCAAACTGTTGAAATAAATGATTGTAATCAAATGGAAACTCAATATATTGATGATAATTGCGATGTGGCAAGCGAAAGTAGTTTAAGTTGGAGTGGAGGAGAGGGACACGAAGGTGATGATGAATTAACTGATTGGGCACCTACACAAGATAATAATTCTAGTTTGGATCAATCTTGGAATGATGATCAGCGTGAGATTCGAGCAGGTAAATATATCGATGAAGTTTTTGATATTTTAGAGATTAATTGTTTGAATTTTTAGGTTGTAGGAGGCTTCGTGAGGAACGTCCAGGTTTTAGCATCAGTACTGGAGCTAATGAAAGAGTGGCAAAGTTTTTGCAAGACTCCAATCGATCTGAATTAAGACTTTTTGGAGCTGAACATGAAAAGTTAGGTCAATTGGCTTCTTTATACTCTTTGGATCATTGGTTTGATGGCTCCAGTTCGTTGTTAAAAAAGACGAGCAGAACGCCTTGCATGCAACCCACTCAAAGACATCATAATGGTCATAACGCCGCTCACAAGAAAATTAGGACACAAGATAGAGGGATTATATAAGATTCTTTTTTAATTTTTAATTCGTAAAAGGGTTTAATGTAGGGATTTTAAAGTAGGTTTTTATAGTTGTGTATTTATTAGGTAATTTTAACAAAGTATTTTGGAGTTAAGACTTAAAATTCTCAAAATGCATTTATTTCATTGGTGGTTAAATGACATATCGTTTTTAATTTAAAAAATAAAACTAGAGTAATTAATAACGTAATGAAGCTCAAGATTGTGTGAAAGTATTTTAAACTAACGTCTTCAAATTTAGTACAAAAAGTGGGTAATTTTGAATGTTCGTCGATTCCAAATTGTAAATAAACTGTTTAGTTTTAAATCAAGAGTTTTATTTTATATGTTATATCCTGATAAAGCCCTAAATTCTATTTGTATCATAATCACATCAAAAAAAAGTAAAAGTTGAGGTTAGATTTTATTGAATTGAGGTTAGGTTTTCTTGACTCCAGATTTTTTAACCCTTTGTGCAAGGTTTATAGCAAGGTTTATAGAACATAAGGTTACCTCATTCCCTATGCCTCTGTAGTATCGATTATTACCCCGCAAATTGACGTCACTGGTTCGATACAGTCAGAATAAAAGATAGATACGTGCCAACGTGCCTATACTGTGGTACAGTCTATATAAAATATTTAAACCTCGCATCGTGTTGTCCTTGTTTATAGATATATCTATAAACAAGGGCGTTGTGTTGTTCATAGAACCAGCTACGTCACTGACCCACCTTGCCTCTCAGAGGAGGAGAATCGGTATTGGGTAACCTTATGTTCTATAGACCTTGCCCTTTGTGTACCGACGGTACTTTAAAGTACCGGTAGTTTTAAATACTCATTTTAAGAAGAAAGCATTGAGCTTTAATTTATAATAAGTCTCATTCCTTAATTTCAATAAACATGGCTTCCAGGAATTTTTAAATTAGCATCTTTTTTGACACTTTTAGGTTATACGAAAATGTAAGTTTTATTTCAACATTTTTTTCCTCAATATTTTTCCGACCCAACAATTATTATACATCATTTTAAAGAGAAAGCTTTGAGCTTTAATTTAGAACAAGTTTCATTCCTTAATTTCAATAAACACGGCTTTCAGGAATTTTTAAATTAGCATATTTTTTAACATTTTTAGGTTATACGAAAACGTAAGTTTTATTTCAACATTTTTTTTCTGAATATTTTTCCAATCCTACCCTACAATTATTATACATCATGTAAAAAGAAAGCTTTGAGCTTTAATTTAGAATAAGTCACATTCCTTATTTTTAATAAATACGGCTTCCTGGAATTTATAAATTAGCATCTTTTTTGACACTTTTAGGTTATACGAAAATATAAGTTTTATTTTAACTTTTTTTTTCTCAATATTTTTCTTTACTTTTTAAACACGGCTTCCTGTTAGATTTTATTGAATTGAGGTTAGCTTGGGTTAGCTTTTCTTGAGTCCAGGTTTTTTAAGTAAGCAAGATTGTTATTTTAAACACATTAAGTGCACAATCCAAAGTTTCATTTTATATGGTGTAACCTAATAAAGCCCTTGATTCTATTTGTATCATAATCACATCGAAACAAGTAAAAGTTGAGGTTAGATTTTATTGAATTGAGGTTAGGTTTTCTTGACTCCAGCTTTTTTAAGTAAGCAAGATTGTTGTTTTAAACACATTAAGTGCACCATTAAGTTTTGTTTTATATATTATATCTCGATAAAGCCCTCAATTCTATTTGTATCGTAATCACATCAAAAAAGGTAAAAGTTGAGGTTAGATTTTATTGAATTGAGGTTAGGTTTTCTTCAATCCAGATATTTTAAGTAAGCAAGATTGTTGCTTTCAACACATTAAGTACACAATCCAAAGTTTTATTTTATACGTTATATCCTGATAAAGCCATCAATTCTATTTGTATCATAATCACATCAAAAAAAGTAAAAGTTGAGGTTAGGTTAGATTTCATTGAATTGAAGTTAGGTTTTCTTGAGTCCAATTTTTTAAGTAAGCAAGATTACTGTTTTAAACACATTAAGTGCACAATTAAAAGTTTTATTTTATCTATTATATCCTGACAAAGCCCTCGATTCTATTTGTATCATAATCACATCCAAAAAAAGTAAAAGTTGAGGTTAGATTTTTTGAATTGAGGTTAGGTTTACTTGAGTAGAGATTTATATAAGTAAACAAGTTTATTATTTTAAACACATTAAGTGCACAATCAAGTTTTTTTATATATTATATCTTGATAAAGCCCTCGATTCTATTTGTATTATAATCACATCAAAAAAAGTAAAACTTGGGTTGAGGTTAAGTTTCAAAAAAAAAGTGAAAATTATGTTTTAGCCCCAATTTCACCCAATTGTAGATGAAAAGCATCAACATTTGCACTCAGGAACATTAGTCTTTACACCCTAATTAGTCTAACACCAAAGTACAGTTCCTGCAATTTATCATGGAAAGACTCTACGATCATATCAAGGAATTGAAGGCTTCTTATACAAATTAATGTTGAATCAATCTTATTTTTAACGCATCACTAAAACGAAGATTTATGTTTAAACGAAGGAACAAGATGCATTTATTGAGTCCGATTTAATCTAACTTACAACGTAGTAAGATGATTTTGTAGAATTAATATGAGTTAATTCATTTAATAATTTAATCGTATTAAATAACTTAAACGTTAAATAAGTAGTAATTACTTTTATTTATAAAAGTAACCAACGTTTCTAAAACAACCAAAAGATGTCACTAACACTTAAAACGTCAATTTGACAGATTAAGCGACAAAAAATCCTAACCTTATCACTTCCATTCACGTTCAACCTAGAAAATTGTGAAATTTTACGTAAATTTGTACAATGAATTCGGAAGAAGCTCAAATTCAATCCGATTTTTTCCTTAGGGAAATACCCAATGTTAAAATAGCGTAAGTTTTTCTAATACTCTCAAAAACGTCATTAAAATCATAATTTTTAGACCTCCAATTGTAGAATATAAAAAACCCAACGTGAAAGAAGAGTTAAAATGTCTACAATTATCCAATGAATCGCAAGAGATGATTATGGACACTTTGAGGTATATCCATGGAGAGGTAAAATCTAACTAAAAATATGTCTTGTGTGTTAATTAAAAATTTTAAGGATTTCTCTTTGAGTAATGTAACCGATTACGTAGATAAAGGAACTAAATTTATGAAAAAATACCATCTGCAACGTGGAAATTTAGTAATTAAAGGTATAACACATTTTTCGAACGCAAATGAACCACAAAACGATGCAGATAGATTCAAGATGTTTGCTGTAATGAGATTAGAAACTTACGGTTTTCATAAAGAACATTGTTTAGAAGCCATAGAATATTTTCCCGAAATTGAAGATGCTTTATCCGCTTTATATTACAAATATTTCAATGTAAACAAAAATGAATTGGAGGAATTTAGCGAAAAGGAACTCTTGGAGCTACGAGAAGATGAAAAATGCGTTTTAGAGTCAATATACGAATCCGATTTTAAAGAAAAAATTAAAAACGAAGTTTGGATTTTGAGTTTTAAATTAGATTATCTCGTTTCACATTTTTATCCAAGAAAGATAGTCAAAAAACCGGTTGAAGTAAAAAAGAAAGAAAAATGTCGAAATTTTCTCAGAACGGGGCAATGCAAATTTGGTTTAAAATGTCGATTTTCGCACGAAGAGGAAGTCCGAGAAGCGCCATCTTTGGACGGACATTTAAACGATTATTCATTCGATTTAGAAATAAGATTTCCCAAAAACACAAAGTATCCGCACGAACCGCCGTTAATTTTTTTAAAAACTAATTTATTAATGAGCGAATTAATGAATTTACATATTACTAAAAGATTACTTGAAGAAGCTTCTAGTTTAGCTTCAGGCGGAATGGGTTCGATTTATTCCATAGCTGAATTATTAAAAAATGAAGACGAAATTTTAAGTTTTCTTAAAACCAACGAGGTTAAATTTGTTTCTCCATCAACGAAATTATTTTCAAATCAAAATGATAAAGTTACAAGCGTTAAGAAATCGTTGTATTACAAAAAAGGTTACACGAATAAAGAGAGAAAAAATTTTAGTTTAAATCAATTATTAGATGATGATGAAAAAATTGCTAAAACGTTTAAATCGAAAAATTCCGATTTAAAATATATGAAAATGCAAGATTTTCGAAAAACTCTACCCGCTTGGTCAATGAAATCCGAAATCATCGAAACGATAAATAATTCTAAAGTTGTTGTTATTAGCGGTGAAACTGGATGTGGAAAAAGCACTCAAGTACCGCAATTTCTTCTTGATGATTGGTTAGGAAACTTTTCAAAAACAAAAAGTGGTCATCGAGAGATCATTTGTACCCAACCTAGGAGAATATCCGCTATTGGAGTGGCTGAAAGAGTCGCGGAAGAACGATTAGAAAAAATTGGGAACACAATCGGTTATCAAATTCGATTAGAAAGTAAAATTTCAAATCTCACAAGATTATCGTTTTGCACAACCGGAATTTTATTACGCCGATTAGAAATCGATCCACTTCTAGCTAATGTTTCACACGTCGTCGTCGATGAGGTCCACGAACGAAGTGTTGAAAGCGATTTTCTTTTATTAGTCCTCAAAGATTTATTAAAAAAAAGATCTGATTTAAAAGTAATTTTAATGAGCGCCACATTAAACGCAGAATCGTTTTCAAATTATTTCGGCGACGTTCCGGTTTTTGAAATCCCTGGGAGAACTTTCCCGGTTGAACAGTATTTCTTAGAGGATATCCTAGATGAAACAAACTTTTTGTTCGAAGATAATTCGGCGTTTATGCGACAAATCGATATTGATTTTACGGAAATTGATGCAAAAATTGAACGATCATTTCAATTTCAAAATTTTATGCCAAGGGATAATGTTAAAGATGAAAATTTGGCTATTGAACAAGTATTTGCTCGATATCATGGTAAGTTAATTAAATACAATAAAATCTTGATATAACTAGCCTAAATCTAGAATTAGAATCATTCGGTTTAACCATTTGTCGGAAATTTTATTTAATTTCGGGGAAATCCTTGTTTACTTATTATTCTGTTAATTTCTATACAATACCTTCACGCTAGTGATGGACGGTTTTGCGAAAAGCCAAATATCCGGTTATTTGGCATATCTATCCGGCCATTATGGTTATAATTTCTGGTGCATTTCTTAAGTGATACCCTATATATCCACATTATTGCGATATTTGAATAAAAATGAAATTAATAAGAAAGCTGATAAGATATGTCAACTTTTTTGATGCTGATTTAACTAACGATTCCACAAGGATCCTTCAAGAAATAAATTTTATATCGAATTTTAAAAGTTATCGATGAAAATTGCAACATCGAAAATTTCATCAAAACTTCAAATATTGTTTTCTCAAAAACTAAAAGTTTTTTTTCAAAACGTGTTGGTTCATTGGAAAGAGGACACTTTTATTAACATTTTGGAAACTTTTCATACTTATATTCCAAGAAATGGATTTTATACGAATTTTTAAAACTTAATCAGCGAAAATTGATATAATCGAAAAAATAGTCGATTATTTAAAAAATTTATTTCTCCACAACTAAAAGTGATTTTTCAAAACGGCCTTTTGTATTAAAAAGAGGATACTATAATTAATAATTGGTGATATTTCCACAACGATCCTGCAAGAAATTAATTTTATAGCGAATTTTGAAAGTTATTGATGAAAATGAAAACATCGAAATTTTATCATAACTTCAAATATTATTTTCTCAAAAACTAAAAGTTATTTTTCAAAACGTGTTCGTTCATTGGAAAGAGGACACTTTTATTAACATTTTGGGAAATTTTCATACTCATATTCCAAGAAATGGATTTTATACTAATTTTTAAAACTTAATTGGCGAAAATTGCAAGATTCGAAAAAATTGTCGATCATTTCAAAAATTTATTTCTCAAAAACTAAAAGCGATTTTTCAAAACGGTTTATTGCATTAAAAAGAAGATAGTTTAATTAATAATTGGTGATATTTCCACAAGGATCCTTCAAGAAATTAATTTTATAGCGAATTTTTAAAGTTATCGATGAAAATTGCGAGATCGAAAATTTTGTCAAAACTTCAAATATTGTTTTCTCAAAAACTAAAAGTATTTTTTCAAAACAGGTTGGTTCATTGGAAAGAGGACACTTTTATTAACATTTTGGGGAATTTTCATACTCATATTCCAAGAAATGGATTTTATATGAATTTTTAAAACTTAATTGGCGAAAATTGCAATATTACAAAAATTTATTTCTCATGAACAAAAAGTGATTTTTCAAAACGGCTTTTTGCATTAAAAAGAGGATACTTTAATTAATAATTGGTGATATTTCCACAGAAGGGTTCCGTCCAATCGGAACAGATGGTGTGTCCTAGACAGTACGTCGCGCCTTTATCTTACCTACATAAAGATATAAGGCGCGACGTCCTGTCTGGGACGCACCATCTGTTCAGATTGAACGGAACTCCCGTCACCCCGCAGAGCTTATTTCTGTTTCTCTTTAATTTGTAATTCCATTAAATCGCTCTTAAAAAATTAGGGAGTTCTAGTTTTGAAAAACTGAGGAAAATCCGCGAGGAAATCCACCCAGCCGTTTTCGACATAACAGCGTCTTACTAAACCGCGATTTTCCGCGAGACTGTATTTAATATCGAAAAAATAAAATATGCCTCTCATTAAGAACACATCAGGCTACCACCTGTTCAAAATTAAAATTTTTTCGGTCGATAGTTTTCGAGAAAAAAAATCGCAAAGTTGACAAAGTTGCCGGTACCGTAAAAAATCGGGTACTTTTTCCATTTAACTGGAAATAAAAAGAAAACCGTGCATACGAAAATTTTAAAATTAACATATGTTACGTAGAAATGTTCAGTGATTACAACAAACTGTATCACAATTTTTTTTATCGAGCGGTTGCGCAGATATCGATCTCTAAAGTGAGGGGCCTTGACTTTTTGCACGGATAGTAGTTTAGTGGAGAATATTTTGGGTCCTATGGCATTTGAGTTGATTTTAAAAGAGTTGAAAAACAATCAAGAAATGAGATATTTTTCAATATCCATGAATGCCTGCAACAGAGGAAATCTTAAGTTATTTCCCCTTGTAGTTCCGTATTTTGTTCCTGAACTGGATTTTTACACTGATGGAAAAACTCAGTTATGATGCCAAAACGTTGATTTATAAAATTTATTCTGAATTTGCATCGAGTACAGTTTCTACAAGGGAATTGGAAACTTCTTTTGATTTTTTTAATTTGGAGTATTCCCCAATGATTAACAATGTTCCCACTAGATGGTTGTCTCTGTCTAAAGCTGTTGACAGAGTATTATCCAGTGTTGTTCAATACCCGGGTATTTATTTTCAAGGGAAAGTTCCCTGGATATGCAAGATGTATCTGAGTGACTGCAACAAACTTCAAGGGATGATTGTTTAGTGAATTTTAAGGGTACTTTGATATATGAATCATGAGCGACACTTTTTGGAGGGGTGTAGTGGACCGCTCCAAAAATGGCGGAAAATTTTGGTTTAATTTTTTTTTCTCAAAAACCATAAACGCTAGGAAAATGAAATTTGGGGAATATGTTTAACTCATAATAAGGCACGTTTTGACCCTATTTGTACTTTCAACCTACCCTTGAAGAAAACGACGTTTTATAAAACTGACATTTAATTTTGACAAATTGTTGTGAAGTTGGTTACAGTTAGTAACATTGAATTTATGTCACATTTGACGTTTAAACTTTATTCAAAAATTTATTTAAAAAATAAATTTATTAAATCAATTTCTATAGTCGTGGACAAAGTATAGTATTCTACTCGCATATAATGAGCTAATGCTGAGTTAATTATGCTCGCTACGCTCGTGATATAAACTTAACCGTAGTGAATAATAGCCCTCATTATATACTCATATAATAATATACTATATTTTTATACCATAAAGAAATGCAGCATGTATCAATTACATTCGTTTTTCATTAAGAAAAAAAATTAAAGTAGTTTTTAGTACCACGCCGCACAAAGCAAACATTTGCTAAACTCGAATGATTCTAGTTCTAGGTCTAGTGTTAGTTCTAGTTTTAGTTGTTATGGTACGTTAAATTGTTGTAAAAATAATTTTTTTTATAGAGTATTCAAAATCAACTTGCAAAAACTTATTTTTAATGGATCACGAAAAAATCAATTTGGATTTAATCGAGCATATTTTAAGATGGTTCGTTGAAGGTAACCACGAGCACCCAAGGGATGGTTCAATTTTAATTTTTTTACCTGGAATTAACGAAATAACCGCTTTGTACCAAGAATTAAACGTCTCTGATCTTTTTGGTCATAAAAATGGAAACTTTTTGCTCGTCCCTTTACACTCAAGTTTAACCAGCGAAGAACAAGCTTTAATTTTTAAGTGAGCTTTTATTATTTATTAAAATACATAATTATTTAAACATAATTTTTTAGAAAACCTAAAGATGGTGTTAGAAAAATAGTAATTTCAACAAACATAGCTGAAACTTCTATAACAATAGACGATTGTATTTTTGTGATCGATTGTGGTAAAATGAAAGAAAAACATTTCGATTCAAATAGGAATATGGAAAGTTTAGAAACCGTTTGGGTAACGCGGGCGAACGCCCAACAAAGAAAAGGTCGTGCTGGAAGAGTAAAACCCGGTGTTAGTGTACACTTATTCACCCAACACCGATTCAAACATCATTTATTACCTCAACCAATACCGGAAATTCACCGAATTCCTTTAGAACAAGTCATTTTGGATATTAAAGTTTTACAAAACTTTTCCGAACGAACCGTTTTCCAAGTTTTAGATAACATTTTAGATCCTCCAATAAAAGAAAATATTGATTCTGCGATTATTCGTTTAAAACATGTTGGAGCTTTAGATCAAGAAGATAATTTAACACCGTTAGGACATCATTTAGCTTCGTTACCTGTCGATGTAAAAATTGGAAAGTTGATTCTTTATGGTGCTATTTTCGGTTGTGTTGATTCCGCGTTGACGATGGCGGCCGTTTTAAGTTCAAAAACTCCCTTCGTTACGCCGTTTAATAAGAAAAATGAGGCCGATGCGAAAAAAAGGGAATTTTCCGCTGGGAAAAGTGATCAAATCACCGCTTTAAGAGCTTATAAAAAATGGTTATCAATGCATAAAAAGAGTCGTTTGTCGGGACAAAACTTTGCTAATGAAAATTATATGTCAATTAAAACTTTGTTAACGATCGGAGATATTAAATATCAATTTTTGGAGTTTTTGGTTAGTATTGGATTTATTCCTGTTGATTTGAGGAATAGGAGAAAGAGTGGAATTGATGATGTTTTAGGAATTACAGGAAATGAGGTGAGTTTGAGTTAAAAAGATTATTTTTTTTTAATGATTTTTTTTTAGTTCAATAAAAATGGTGATAATACAAGGTTATTATCAGCGATTTTATGTGCTGCTCTTTATCCAAATGTATGTAAAGTGTTAACTCCTGGTATGTCTTACGTTATGAGCGCTGCTGGAGCAATTCCAGTTCAACCAGATGCAAAAGATTTAAAATTTTGGACGAAAACCGAACAAGTTTTCATTCATCCAAGTTCGATTATTTCAAAAATAGGAAATTTTGAAAGCCCTTACTTAATATTTCAAGAAAAGTTTAAAACCAGCAAAGTCTTTCTAAGAGATTGCAGCATGGTTCCAACTTTAGCTTTGGTTCTTTTCTCCGGTTTTGACATTGAGATAAACGTCCACAATGGAATGAGCTTTTTGGTTATTGAAGACGGTTGGATAACTTACAGAGTTGAGGAACATAAGGTTAAAATGCTTTAATTAATTATTTGCAATATTATTCCTTATTTTATTTGGTGTGTAGATTGCAGAAATGGTTAAAATGATAAGGTTAGAATTGGTTTCGTTGCTTGAGGAAAAAATTAAAGATCCCCTCTTAAATTTGATGCATCATGAGAAGGGGTCGAAGATTATATCTGTGATAAATCACTTAATCATGAATGAATGACAAATTATTTTTTGTTCAATTTATGTGATAAAAACCAATTAATAAATGAGATGTATAAATAAGTTAATTAATTTATTTATTTAAATAAAAAAAATATGTCATCTCTAAATGCAATTTATTTTTTTCCCTATTTATAAATTTTTATTTAATTAAAGTTTATAATTTTAAAATTGGGGTTTTTTTTTTTTAATTTTGGGGGGCACTCCATCACTCGGTTACCATAACAACAGCGCGCGTTAAGATCATAACAAAACAAAAAATAACCTAACCTCTTTACCCGTTAATATTAACTTTAAATATAAGCTAAAAATGAGTGGTGAAAAGGTAATAAGAATTATTTTAACCAAAAACATTCGTGTAAGTTTCTTTTTTGCAGATATTATTTCATTTAGAACAACCCCACGGATCAGGAGACATTTATGCAGCCTGGCAAAAAGGTTCTGGTAATTATCTTGTTACAACTGGTGTAGATAGCACGTTAAATATATACGATCGATATGGCCAAATCAAAGAAAGAATTAAATTACAAAGTTTGTGTAACGGATTTGCTTGGGATAACGACGGCGACGTTTTGGCGATTTTATCTCAAACGGCCCAACTTATTATTTGGGATGCTAACTCTACGAGACGTCAAACTATCGATATTGGATTACGAGATGTTTTAACTTTTTTGGTTTGGAATAAAACCGAACCAATTTTAGCCGTGGGTACGATTAAAGGGAATGTTTCGATATATAATCATCACACTTCTAAGTAATAAATTAATTGAAGAATTATCATGTCGCTTAAGTTATCACTTAAGTAAACAGTTATAAATAAAAAAATAATGCGGAAAACTGTAAAATTTACCGAAAAATTACTTTAAAGTTTTGACAAGACGTCACTTTTTGTGACGTCATCGACCGTGCTAACCATACAGGGTGTGTCAAATGTCTGGAATATAGCCAATAACTTCGCCATTTGTGGTTTTAAAGAAAAATGTTTCAAATACCAGTTTCTTTATTAATCGTGGCGCATTTTTTGGCGATATATATTTTTTTTTGTTTCGTTGCTATGGTAACCAACATTGTTATTTTAAATGGGTTGCATGTATTTTTTGCATACTTTGATAGAGGATAGATCCCTCCACGCGATAAACATATCAAATCATATGGTTGTATAAGAAAAAAATGCGTTTTCTCAAAATATTAAATCATCAAATTACAATTAAAGTAGGCGCCGAAATAACGCCGTTGACAGCTTTAAATATAGCCAAAAAAATGCGCCACAATTAATAAAGAATTTTTTATTTGAAACATTTTTTTTTAAAACCACAAATGGCGAAGTTATTGGCTATATTCCAGACATTTGACACACCTGTATATGTATTTTCGCAGCATTTTTGGTTAAAACGCATATTTTCGGGTGAAATACGGTTGTTGACGCACAACAACTAAAATGGCGTTATTTACCACCTACTAAAGTTAATCTAAAATCTATACCTAATGCCCTACTCTCCTATTTAAATGTTACAATCGGATCCACCTAATTTACTAAATTATTTCAGAATTTTGTGTAGAAATTACACTTTCAGTTGGGTTAATTAACATTTAAACCAGTGCGAATTTCTCAAATGTCGGGTTGGGCATGGAGCAGAGGGTAGGTTGTAAATTCCGGGTTGCTTACGTCTTCAGGCGCACGGCCAAACCCGATACTTTTAAGGCTCGTACAGACATGTTTAGTAATTTAGTCGAGTAGCGAGTAGCCACTTACCGCTGGAACGTTTACTAGATGGCAACTGTCCACATTTAATACGCTCAAGATACTTTACTGGTACTCAAGATGAACGTCGCTGGTCATCGCGCGCAATTCAATAATGCAAGAAATATAATTCATATGCTTATAGAGGAAACTGAAGAAGTGTCTGAAAAACTTAATAAGCGTATATTCGTTAGAAAGTGGATGAGAAGAATTTCATTACGGGCATAAATTGCTCTTCTATTAACGTTTATGGCATATTAAAAGTGTTACTTATAAAGACAGGTTAGCAAAACAAAAAGCTTATGAAGATTTGAAAAAGGTTCTGTTTATGTTGGAGGTTAAGAGGTATCCTCTTAACACATTATCCAGTATTTGAAAGCATTTTATGGATGGAACATAAACAGAACCTTTTTCAAATCTTCATAAGCTTTTTGTTTTGCTAACCTGTCTTTATAAGTAACACTTTTAATATGCCATAAACATTCATGTTTGACATTTTTACTAACAATCTTGACAGTAGTATTTCGCTCCATCGCCCCGACACGTTTGTTATTATACTACATATTGCTAATTCACTAAACTAAATTTATGCGTTCGCACGCAATTGCAAGTAGTGGAAGTACGCTACTCGACCGAAAAAATAGAATCAAATGGATCTACTCGACAAAATTGTAATGTCCGCACGTACCGAGTTACTAAATTGCTCGCTACTCGACTAAATTACTAAACGTGTCTGTACGATTTAGTTCTAAAGTATCGGGGTTCTAGTGCAAAACTAGAACTAACACAAGACCTAGAACTAGAATCATTCGAGTTTAGCCGTCTTGAGAGACGTGCGGCTAAATCGGAATGTTACTAGTTCTTGGTCTAGTGTTAGATCTAGTATTACTCTAGCACTATCACTAGAACTAACACAAGACCTAGACCTAGAATCATTCAGGTTTAGCCGTCTTGAGAGACGTGCGGCTAAACCCGAATGTTTCTAGTTCTAGGTCTTGTGTTAGTTCTAGTTTTAAATGTTGTTTAGCGTTAGACTGTGGTATATTTTTAATGAAACAAAAGTAGAACTAACTAATATTTCGGTCTACTGTTAGTTCTAGTATTAACACACAGTCTATCTAACGACAGGTAGCCAGTCGTTATGCAACAAAAGCCTAAGAAAAACAAGGATGTTTCATTTTTCCGCACTTTCTTTCTATTTTTAAAGTGTTTTTTTTGTTCATTTCACATTAATTAAAAAAAATCGTTGATTTTTAAGCCACATGATGATTCTTGAATTTTTCCATTATTTTTATTATTGTATTCATTATAAAAAAATGTATTTTTTAAGACGTGTTCCAATTATTGGTAAACATACAAAGAAAATTACTTGTGGCGCTTGGAGTGCCGAAAACTTATTAGCATTAGGATCGGAAGATAAAACAATTTCTATTAGTAACATCGACGGAGATACTTTAAGAGTTGTTTCTTTAAGATCCGAACCAGCCGAGTTACAATTTTCGGAAATTAAATTAGATGAACGAGTCGGTGGTGAAAACACAGTAAATTATTTCCTTTTTTATTATTACTTTTTTAATAAACTACCATTTTAGGTTAGTGTAATTGTTGGTAAACGCACCCTTTACCTTTATAACCTCGTCGATCCAGAAAATCCGATCGAATTAGCGTTCCAACAGCATTACGGCACAATCGTAACATACAAATGGTTTGGGGATGGTTACATTTTAGTTGGATTTTCCACCGGTTATTTTATAGCAATTTCGACTCATATTAAGGAAGTGGGGCAAGAGTTATTTCAAATTCGTAACCATAAAACGAATCTATCAGATATTTCCGTATCTACGGAAGCTGGAAAAGTTGCTACTTGCGGCGATAATGTGTAATTATTAATGAATTTTATTAATTTTAAATCTAAATTTATTTTGTTTGTTTATTTGATAGAATAAAACTTCACGATTTATCAAATTTACAAGAAACATCCGCTGTGATAACTTTAAACGAAGAGATAGGTGTTGATAGAATTGGTTGGAGTTCAGACGGACAACTTTTATTTGTTTGCACAAAAAGTGGATCTTTAAACGTTTACATATCTTATATGCCTACTTTGGTTAGCGTTTGCGGACCTAGAATTGCAATTTTATCCAGTTTAATGGAAGTTAATTTGTATAATTTTAAATCTGACAAGGTTTCGTATTTATTTATTTAAATTTTTTAATAATTAATGAATCAAAACAAATTTTTAGTCAAAATTAATTCCGATTCCGGTCACTTTGGAGGTAGAACCAAGTTTTATTTCAGTTGGACCTTATAATTTAGCGACTGGGTTAAACAATCGGGTTTGGTTCTACGATTTAACGCGTTCTCATCCATATTCCGAAAACTCACCTTTATTATTAAAAGATCGAGAGTATTTGGGCGGAATTTCCGGTTTGAAAATGAACGCCGAGTACGTTTCGGTCCTTTATAACGGAAAAATTCAAATGCACATGATAGAAACCCCCGAAATGGAGATGGACGAACGAGAAAGCATTATTTTTCCAAACGAAAACTCTTCGAATGTATTCATAACTTGTCATTTTTTATCAACCGACTTTTTAATTTACGGAACGGATGTAACAAAAAAATTTTTATGTTTAATTTAAATATTTATGTAACATTTTTAGATGGGTGATATCGTATATTTTTGTATTGAAGAATGGTCTTTTTCAATCGAGTATAAGCACGCAATTGGTATTTTAGATATTTATGTCGATCCGGCTGGAACTTGTTTGATTTTTATTGATTCAAAGAAACAGGGTTATTTATTTAATGCGGTAACTTTTTAATTTTGTTTTATGCGATTCTTTCATCTTTTGAATTTTTTTTAAAGGTTAATAACGAAGTGATTATGGTACCTGATATGACTCATGACGTAAAAGGTGTTCTTTGGGAAAGTTGTGTAACAGAGCGAAATGTTTTTATTGTATTTGATAATCAGGATATTTACACTTATATTTATGTAAAGTTATCAGTTTATGGTAAGTACACTGTATTGGAAAGAAATTTTTGGTAAATCTGTAGAGCCACTAAGTCGCTGGTCATTGTGTTCCCATTTAACGCTATGTTGCTTCATCAATGTCGCTTCATCAAGTGATGTATAACGCGGTCCAATTAAAAATATGATTAATGATTCTTATCACATGAAAACCGCTGAGCCTAATATATCCCAGTACCTCCCCCTTAATCAGTCTTGAATTATCCTACTCCTTCCTTCTATTCACCAGCGCATTTAACACATTTTTTTGCGGCAGTAAGACTTGGTGTAACTCCAACCTTAGCAGCTTTTACACTGAGGCATTTTTTTTTGCTCTCTACTCTTCAATTTTGACACACATTCCTAATATATTTGTTATTTCATGGATTCTTTTTGCATCTTCTCATGGTGCAAAATGGAAGTTGGGATAAAGGATAGAACAATTTAGATGGATTCAGTTTTCCTTTTTTTGTTTCTTTTGACTTGTTTTATTACCCACTCAGTAACTTAATACATGAAATAATAGAATTAATCGAGATTATACCTATAAAATAATGTAATAATTAAAGTTTCGAAATAAACTAATTCACTGTTTCTAATTTTAAAGGTCCATCTATACAAAAATTAGGAAAAACACCGTTTTTATCGAAGCAAATACCATTGTTACTGTATTCTGGAGAAGTTATTTGTACTGCACCTTCGGGACAAATAATTAGAGTAATATTAAGTACCCACCACGATAATAAACAAATTGGAAATAACGAAGACACAGCGAATTTAGAAAACATTTTTAATAAACAATTATCATTACATAAGTAAGTTCAACCCCATTGTTTTACGTTTAAGATATTTTAATATATTTTTTGTAATTCGCGACGGTAATGAAAGCTGTTACGGTACTCAAACGGGTGCTGTAATGAGACTCCTTACAGCATCTGATGCTATAATGAGAATTTAGTAACATTTTATGGAACTAGTTCAAGTTGGAGACATTGGGTCATTAATTTTTCTATACTCTGTTTTTAAACCAGGAGGAGTAAACGCGAAAGTCAGATTTACACTAGGAAAAATCACCAGAAAATATCACTAGATATTTTGGCGGTAAATTTAAATTAATAATTATTATTATTTATTTATTTACTTATTATTGTATTTATTTTCGTTTGTTATCGTCAACACTATACATACAAATTAACATTGAAGTTATGAGTGTATTTATTTCAAAATATAATAAAAAAGGGTTTAAGAACACAAAATATACAATAATGACACGAAACTGTCGAATTATCAATTACCTAACCTTCAAATTCAAAATCAAAATTCAAAATTGCCTGTGTGTGAACCTTCCTCGCATTCAACCAATCACGTGCAAGGTCAATCTGGTGACAAATTTAAAATACTCCTCCTGGTTTAAAAACAGAGTATAGTTGTCAATGTGACAATTTTTGTCTATGTATGTTTAAATACGTTCTTAGCATCGAATACAAGGTCTACAATGATGAGGACATTGAACTCTGAGCAGTTTCTCTTATTCTGGGAGGTGTATAAATAGAGGAAACTATAAGAGTTAAAAAAAAAGTAGCTTCATGTCATAATCTCGTTTTTCGAGAAACTGCTAATGCCAAAATTGAAAATATCGTTAAACCAACAAGTGCAATTATCTTGGTTATTATTATAGGTGGAGCTATAACTAAGACATTATAGGGACACTTTTTAACAGAGAATTTGATGACGTATCAAAAAAAAAATTTCGATTTTAGATTTTGAGATATGACAATTTTCGTTTTTTTAAATAGAAACAACCACTGATTATTTGCTTATTAAATTCGTTCTTTTTCACTGATTACAAAAATATGGGGTTAGATAGGTCTATTTCTTATTGTTTTAAAATAAAGCTAAAAATAAACTTTTCTTTAGTGTTGTCAAAGAAATTAAATATACAGTTTCCTGTAAATTACGTACTATAACTAAAAATTATTCTACTAAAAATGTATATAAAATTTACTTTATTTTCTAATATGTAACATTCTAACATGTTAAACTTTTCGTAATTTTCATAATCCATCTTAAAAAACAGGATTTTTTATTTGACATTTCAGAAAATTTTTGAATACAAACAAATGTTGCTATGTTTATTTCAATTTAAAAAAATATATGAACGCCATCTATCAATTATTTATTAAGTCATTTAATAATAATATTAAATACTAACAAAAAATGTGAAATAATGCAATCTATTCCAGCTTTTGTGTAAAATAAATATAAATTAAATAGTTCAACAAATGTATTTGATTCAAATATCAAAAATATTTTTTTTAAATTTTTAGTTATAATTTACAGGAAACTGTAAATATAATTTCTTTGACGACACTAAAAAAAAGTTTATTGTTAGCTTTATTCTAAAACAATAAGAAATAGACCTGTCAAACCCTATATTTTTGTAATCAGAAAAAAGTAACGAATTTACTAAGCGAATAATCAGTGCCATTTAAAAAAAAATTTCATTATATCTCAAGATCTAAAATCGAAAAATTTTTTTTGTCTACGTCATAAAATTCTCTGTAAAGTGTCCATATAATGTCTTAGTTATAAATACTCCACCTATAATAATAACCAAGATAATTGCACTTGTTGGTTTTACGATATTTTCAGTTTTGGCCTCTAGGGGAAAAACAAAAGACGATAGCGCTTTGAGGTTTTCGGCATTAGCAGTTTCTCGAAAAACGAGATCATGACATGTAAGATGTAAGCTACTTTTTTTCTAACTCTTATAGTTTCCGAGTTAACCTATTCGGACATCGAATTTGAACCATCCTGTACATGAAGCATGTTTTTCAGGTGAATACATTTTGTGTTTTGACATTTCTAATTGTCAATTCAAATTTCTATTTTTAAGTGTTACTGTGTTACCAACTGCTACATACCTATTTCCCTAGATTGTCAAAATTTATTTTGTTTTTGTTAAAAAAAAAGGTTAAAAACGCGAATTACAAAAAATAGCATAAAAATCGTAAGACTTAAAGCACTTATTCAACTTAAATTCGTGCATGTCAAGCTAGTTTTTTAATATGTTATTATTAAATTGTAGTTTCCCGTCAGCTTTTCAAACTTGTTTATTATTAAACTCGAAAGAACAGTGGAAAAAATTGGCGAAAAAAGCAATAACAACTTTAGATATTGAGTTTGCGATTCGCGTTTATAAACAATTAGAGGATTCCGCGACGATTTTGGCTCTCGAGGAAATTTCGGACGTGGAAGATTCAAAGTTATTAGCGGGATACGTCGCGATGATGTTCCTCGACGATTTCGATAGGGCGCAAGAGTCGTTTTTGAAGTCATCGAAACCAGAATCCGCGTTGGAAATGCGCCGTGATCTTTTACAATGGGATCACGCCTTACAATTAGCAAAGAAAATGGCACCGGATCAAATTCCATTTATTTCTAGAGAATACGCTCAACAATTAGAATTTACGTAAATTTGAATGTATTTAAAATTTTTCCTTAAATTATTATTGATTTATTTTAGTGGAAACTTTTCTGAAGCTTTTCTTCATTACGAAAAAGGTCTACAAGATCGAAATTCGTCACAAGAACACGTTTTCGTTTGTAAATCAGGCATTGCAAGGACAGCAATTCGATCGGGAAATTATAAACACGGAATGAATATTGCGATCGATTTAAATAACTCAATTTTATACAAGGAATGCGCTGAATTATTAGAGTTAAAGAAACAATTCAATGATTCGGCCAATTTTTACGAAAAAGCGGAACTTTACGAAAGGGCCGCAAAGAATTATATAAAACAAAAAAATTGGTTCAAAATTGAACGTTTATTACCAAAAATATCATCGCCTAAAATTTTTATACAATTCGCTAAAGCAAAAGAAGCTGAAGGAAAGTTTGAGGAAGCCGTTAAAGCTTATTATTCTGGTAAAGATTACGATTCTGTGGTGCGGTTACAATTAGATCAATTAAATAACCCGGAATTAGCTGTTGAATTAGTTCAAGAAACTCGGAGTGTTGAAGGGGCAAAATTAGTAGCGAAATTCTTTTTAAAATTAAACGATTACGCGTCATCAATCCGATTTTTAATCCTTTCAAAATGCAACCAAGAAGCTTTCGATTTGGCGAAAAAACACGGAAAATTAAACTTATACGGAGATGTTTTATTAAATACTTTAACCCCCGACGAAATTAATCCGGAAGATTTTAATCGTTTAGCTCGATATTTCGAAACCGGTAATGACTTATTAGCTGGAAAATATTTTTTCCACGGCAAAGATTACCAAAAAGCGTTAAAACATTTATTGAAAGCATCAAAAACTGATGAACAAGAAGCGATTTCAACCGCGATCGATGCTGTTGCTTCCTCGAACGATGACGTTTTAGCAAATCAATTGGTTGAATTTCTTTTGGGGGAGTCCGATGGGATTCCTAAAGATCCCAAACATTTATTTCGATTGTATATGGCTAGAAAACGTTTTAAAGAAGCAGCCAAATCGGCGATAATTATCGCGAATGAAGAACAAATTAATGGAAATTATCGAACAGCTCACGATGTTTTATTCGCAATGTACCAAGAATTACGACAAAACGGGATTAAAATTCCTTTCGAAATGTATTCGAATTTAATGTTGTTGCATAGTTACATTTTAGTGAGATTACACGTTAAGAATGGGGACCATTTAAAAGGGGCGAAAATGTTAATTCGAGTTGCTAGTAACATTTCAAAGTTTCCATCACGTAAAATAAGATTATTATTAATTAGTTTTTCTTTATTAATATCTTTTTATTGATAGATATCGTTCCCATTTTGACCTCGACGGTAATTGAGTGCCATCGGGCTGAATTGCGTTTTGCAGCTTACAAATTTGCGACGATTTTAATGAATCCTGATTATCGAAAACAAATCGATCAAAAATATGCTAAGAAAATTGAGGGGGTTGTAAGAAAACCTCCGAAAAGTAGCGATGGAAAAACCAATGAGGATCCCCCTGAAAAATTAACACCCTGTCCGTATTGCGAAGGATTATTAAGCGAATCAGAAACTTTTTGTACTCAATGCAAAACTAATGTACCATTTTGTATCGTTACTGTGAGTAAAGAAGGATGATTTTTTGGTAAGTTTTATGATTATTTTATTTTTTAGGGCCGTCATGTTGTAAAGAATGATCTAACTATTTGCCCTGAGTGCAATTTTCCTGCAATTTTAACCGAATTTAAAAAGTAAGATTTTGTGTGTATACTTGGTTGCATATACTAAAATTATTTTTGATTAATAGGATGTTGGATGCAAATGAAAACTGTCCGATGTGCACCGAAAAAGTTAATTTAAAAAAGTTAATACCCATAGATATTAAGGATCTTTATTTAAACATCGAATAATAACATTTTATTTTTAAATTAAGTATTAACTATTCCGTCCATTTTATTAAATATTAGGTTCAATAAGAGATGTCGCTTTTTAATGTCAAAATAAATTTTAGGTTATGTTTATATCTTTAAATGTTGTTTTTTCTTTAAAATAAACATTTATAATAACCAAAAAAAGTTATTTTTAATCAGAATTAGTTTCTTAATAAACATTGTTAATGAAGGCTATAACTTATTATCGTACAGGGTGTATTTAAAATTCAGCCCCTGTTGCCATGGCAACGGTACATATTAGATATTAATTTATTTAATTTTCTTTTTAAATATAAATGGAAATATTGAAAAAGTGTTGTTTTAATCGCAATAAATGTTCCGTCATAAAATTTCTAAATAGAAATTAATTAAATGTTGTCAAGTTAATAAATAAAAAAGATTCGTTTTGAATCACTCTGTATACAATAAAAGTGCCGCTTCTTGACATGCCAAAATGGTCCAAAAATGGTTTTGAACTCTAAAAAATCGTGATTAACCCGCATTAAAACATCGCACGTCCCCAAATACCCCCAAAATGACCGACATAGGAGTAGAAGTTGGTCAAAAAATGAGGGTGAGTATTGCGAATCGTTTAATACCGTTACTTAATGAAAAAGTGAGGTTATGTTATGGGTGTTATTTTTGATTTTAGTCCGCAATTAAAGCGAAACTAATGGAATTGGAGTGTTACGTGGGTAAGAACGATTTAACAGATTTATTTTTATTAATATTATGGAATAAAATCTAATTTTAATAAATTTTCCTTGATTTGGGGTGGTTTTTAGATGATGAACTCCCTGATTATATCATGGTTATGGTCGCAAATAAACGTACTAAATCACAAATGAATGAGGATTTACAATTATTTTTAGGCTCTAAGACTAGTACATTTGTTGAATGGTTACATATAGTACTAAAAAAGTTAAAAGAAGTTCATGTTACTAATCCAAGTAAGTTTTTTTAAATGATTATTTAATGTAATTTAATCTTTTCAATTCAAGATGTTTTTAAAAAATCAACAAAGCGGAAAATAGAAGATCCCGAATTAGAAAAGCATGTCAAAAAAGAAAAGAAAGACTCAAAAAACAAAAAATTAAAAAAACTAGATATTAATATTAAAGAGGAATCGGTAAAATCTCTAACAGATGATCTCCCCATGAATATAAAATTACCAGAAATTCGGAAAGTAACCATTCAAGACACAACATCTTCATTAAACGATGGAGATGGATTTGATATCCCCACAATAACTGAAGTAAATTCATCAACAGAAACTGAATTAAGGATATTAGAGAAACAAATTAAAAGTGCGAAAAGTCGTTTAGGTGTGGTTGTTCATAGCGAATCTGAGGATGATTTTTTAAACCTTAAAGCAGAACCAGACGATTTATTTCCCAATGAACAATCCATAAATAAACGGGAAAAACTTAAAGAACAATTACGCAAAGTTAATGTTATTGATGAATCTCTTACTCCTCCAATGCCTCAAAAAAACGTTGAAAATTCGGAGGAAGTTTCACCCCATAAAATTAAAGAACACTCGAGGATTGTTTTCGATTTAGACAATAATATTCCTAGGAAAAAATCTGCGCTTGAACGGCTCGGAAAACGGCGAATTAGTGACGATATCGATTTTAGAAGTGGGCTAAAAAAATCGAAAATTAGTTTAAGCGAGATAAGACGCGAAGAAGAAAAATTATTAGGGGTTAAACGCCATGAAAAAATTGATCGGAAAAGATTGTTTAAAGGAGATAAAGATGAATCAGAAGAGAGAGTAGAAAGAATAGAACGTGGAACAAGAGAAGTAATTACAAAAAATAATTTTTATTTAAATTATACTCTAAAAAATGTCAAGTAGGCACCAGGTGAGGTGTCTCTTAGTTAAGTGGTAATAAACATATTTTTGAAAATCTTTAGGTACTAGGGTCAGAAATGTTGGCAATTTAACAGTGATTTTTTTAATAATGTGTTCCTTATGAACCATGCTACTATAGAAGTCACAAATCAAACAACAAAAGTCGTTAGTTTTGCAAAAAAATATATAAATTTGAGTTAAGGTTGAAAGAATTTATCTTACAACACCCTTGGCAAGTGATTTTAAAAGATGGTCTGTTTAGTCAAGATTCCAAAATGGTACAACACTTGCCATTTTTCTTTTCTTAAAAAATATTGCCTGTTTTTCTGCAAAGAACGCGTTATTTAAAAAATTCATGCTTTTGTATGTTATTTGTATTCCAAAATAATTTAACAACTTTGTTAGAAGATGTGCCATTCAATATCTACAGAGAAATGTGGTTTAAAATTTAAGTTTATTGATGGTTATCCATATCTTATAAAATCAAGTCGCATTTTTTAATTGAAGAAAACTTCAAAAAATCATTTTAGCTCTATTTGTTGAGATGAAGAGGTGATTTATGCCTCAAATTAAAGCTGCTGGTTTAAAATTTAAGTTTATTAATGGTTATCCATATTTTTATAATGATATAGTTCAAATAATGGACGAAATCAATTCGCATTTTTTGATACGACAATTTTATGAATTAAAGAAATTCAATGACTCATGCTGACTTTATTTGAAGGAGTAATGAGATGATTTTTGTATCAAAATAAAGCTAAAAATCTGTAATTTAAGATTAATGATGGTGTTTCATATCAACATTTTCTTCACAATACAAAAATAATGGTATTAACACATTTAAATTTAACCTAATTTTGAGTAAAAACACTAAAACTTTAAAAAATCATTCTGACTTTATTTATTGAGATGAAGAGGTGATTTATGCTCAAATTAAAGCTGATGGTTTAAAATTTACGTTTATTAATGGTTATTAATATCTTTATAATGAAATAGTTGAGATAATTAACAAAATCAATTCGCATTTTTTGACATGACTAATTTTATGAATTCAAGAAAACTTTAAAAAATCATTTCGGCTCTATTTGTTGTGATGCAGAGGTGATTTATGTCTCAAATTAAAGCTGGTGGTTTAAAATTTAAGTTTATTAATGGTTATCTATATCTTCATAATGATATAGTTCAGATAATGGACGAAATCAATTCACATTTTTTGATACAATTTTATGAATTGAAGAAATTCAATGACTCATTCTGACTTTATTTGAAGGAGTAATGAGATGATTTTTGTATCAAAATAAAGCTAAAAATCTGTAATTTAAGATTAATGATGGTGTTTCATGTCAACATTTTCTTTACAATACAAAAATAATGGTATTAACACATTTAAATGTAACCTAATTTTGAGTAAAAACACTAAAACTTTAAAAAATCATTCTGACTTTATTTATTGAGATGACGAGGTGATTTATGTCTCAAATTAAAGCTGATGGTTTAAAATTTAAGTTTATTAATGGTTATTCATATCTTTATAATGAAATAGTTGAGATAATGAACAAAATCAATTCGCATTTTTTGATACGACAATTTTATGAATTAAAAAATTTAATCACTAATTCCGACTTTATTTGAAGGAGTAATGAGATGATTTTTGTATCAAACTAAAGCTAAAAATCTATAATTTATGATTAATGATGGTGTTTCATATCAACATTTTCTTCACAATACAAAAATTCATTCATCTTTTAAAATTACTTGCCAAACCAACTTAACTTAATAGACATAAATTCTTTTAATCTTAACTCATCAAACTAATATTATTTTTCTAAAAACTAACGACTTTTGTTGTTTGATTTGTGACTTCTACAGTAGCAAAGCAGCAAAAAGTAGTAGCAGTAAAAAAATCACTGTTCAATCGCGAACATTTCTGACCCTGGTACGTAAAGATATGATGTATTGGAAGGATTTTTAACATTTTCAAAAATATGTCTTTTACCACTAAACTAACAAGGAAAGTGTCACGATTGTGTCTCATTCGTGACACTGTCGATTTCGATGAAATTTGGTACATCATTATTATTATTAGATTCTTGGGTTGGCCATTGTCCTGAAGTTATTAGTGAAGTAACTCCATTAGACACTAATTTTAAACACTTATCCATACCTGCAGGGACAACCGGTCAAATACAGTCCCTAGATGTATTTAGTTTCAAGGTATGGAAAAATTTCCAGCCCTTATAACCATTTTCAAACATTTTTGCTTCACATACAAAACAAATACCGTGACATATTTCGCCAAACTCGACAAGTAACGCCTAGAATAAAATTAATTCTTAGGGGGTAGTTAACCCCCACTACCCCCACATGTCATATATGCCTTACTTTAGACTAAAAATGTTACTGTACGACTAATTTACGGATTTGTTTAAAATATTTTCAAAATACCTGACAGTTTGATCACATCATTCTCACGAAAAGTAGTTACATGTTAACCCCTTAAATAAACCTGAAAAAATAGGGGTAGTTCTCCCCTTTTAAGCCTCTGGTATATGTGTGATACATCAAAAGAAAGCTCTTTTAAAATGAATATCAGCTACAATTTACGAAATTTTGATAGCACTTTTCGTTTTCAAAATATAAGTGAAAACGTACTTTTTCTCCAAACTTTTAACCCCTATAACTCGCTCCAGGGGCTTTTACCGCACGTATAAAAAAATGTACGAACCTTATTTTGACCAATTCTATGACTGTACCAAATTTCATCGAAATCGGTGAGACACAGTCGTGACACTTCCCTTGTAAGAGACAAGAAATGTTTGTCTTATTTTTACCAGAACAGATATGGGTTGGCCTCTCACCCGGTGCCTGCTTGACGTTGAGTTTCGGGACACCTGTATATAAGAATTTTTATTGTTAACTAAAAATTTACAGTTTTCTGTACAATATATGATAAACCAACCTTAACTTCCCTTATCCCCCTCCGTTCCTCGTCCATCCCCCGCCTTCTCTTCTTCTCTCAGCTCACTGCATCCCCTCAACATATCTTCTAGCGTCTCCAAATCCTCTCCACATCATCCGCCCAGTACCTGTTCGATCTCTCCTCATTATCACACCGAAATCTGGCCACCAATCTCTTCCCTTCCTCACTTCCCTTCTTTACCAAGTATTTTGGAAGCCCTTCCATTATTATGTTCCCATATCTTTCATTGTACCTTCCCTCTCTTATCTGCGTCCTTCTCTCCTGTCTTTGGATCCCTGTCGCTTACCTCCCCCCACATCACCACCCTTTCCCTACTTTTGTTGTTTATCTCTGCCTCCGAATAACTCGTCCTGTTGTAATATTCCCTCCTCTCTTCTTTACCATATCTAATCTTCCCCCCAGGACCCCGAAGTATAGATATTTAAATTAAATTTTCTGTTTTTTTTAGAGTGCTTTATCTCGACTTGGAGTGATGTCAAAAGTAGCAGTCCCAAAAAAATCAATTACAAACGAAGTCGTTGAAGAGGAAGTTTCCCCAAATAAAGAAGTTCCTAGCGTTGTTAAAGTCAAGCCTAGAGTCATACCACCAAATGCGCCTCAAGCCAATAAAAATTTACTTTTAAAAGCGGTAGCCGATGCTCAAAGAAGCATCGCTCAAACACCTTCAATAGGAACTAATTCAAAAGTCAGTTGTTTATTATTGATTTAATATCCTACGTATCTAATTTTAATTTCAGCCTGATGCGTTATTTACGAAAAAATACAAAGAGAAATTAGCCGAAAAGCATTCAAAAAGAAAATCGTCCCCAATTAAACAAAAAAGTAAACTTCAAGATATAATTTCACATATTTCAAAAAACGTCGAACCCACAAATAAACAACAAGGTGACTCAAGTGAGGTTGAATACGTTCCCAAACCATTAAAGCGATCCGAATCGTTAACAGCGCAGCTCCAATACATCCCGAGCCCAAAAGAATTAAAATCAGATTCGGATAAAAAAATTCAAAGTCCAAACTTTATAGTTACATTAGACGGAATTGATAAAACCAAGTACGAATCTACTAAGTCCAAATTCGAATTTGATGGAAACGACGTTGAGGTCGATAAAAATAAAGTTGAATCCGAAAAAAACGACGTTCAGAAAAAACGTAGAACGCCGTCTCCGATTATCTTCGATAAAGTTACTTCGCCTGTTAAGAAATCTATTAATGTGCCGGATGTTTTGCCGAAAATCCACACGTCGCCGTTAGTTAAAAATAAGGAGCGGTGTAAATATTGGCCTGGATGTCGGCAAGGCGAAAAATGCGAGTTTGTACATCCATCTACAGCTTGTAAAGCGTTTCCACAGTGTAAATTTGGGGATAAATGTCTTTATGTCCATCCTAATTGTAAATTTGAGAGTTCTTGTACTCGAAGAGATTGTCCGTACAATCATAGTGCTTTAAATAAATCTACAGGTAAGTTAACAACTTATTGGTAGTTGTAGTATATGTTAGTGTACTTCTTACAAAAATATTCTGAAGAGATATCAGGATATCCTCCATTGGTGATCTTGCTTTGTAATTAGTGATAAAGGCATCATCAAAATAAGTACTTACAGTAGAAATAAGCACTAAAGCTAAGAATTTTCATTAAATACATAATAGGGGCTTCCCAAAACTCCCGGGACGGAGCTATAAGTTTTGAAGGAGTGAAAATTTGGGGATCACTAAAGGGTCATAAAAACTACATTCTTAGATAGTTTAGAACTTCCATGCAATGTGGAGTTTTTTTAGGGGATGACCACCCCTACATTTTTAAATAGGAACCCCTGTCGAGGTTTAGCTTATTTTAAAGGTAATGAAAAAAGAAACACAACCCCATATATCAAAACCCTATGTCTTAATTCTTTCAAGAATTATGAGGGGTTGACTACCAAATGAGAAAATGGAAATTGAACGAATGTGAGTTCGAAAAAAGGTTGGTATTCTGTGAAATAGTACGTGAAAAATGTGATGTTGACAGAAATTTTCTTTTGAACGTTGTTTTCTCTGATGAGGCTACTTTCTACTTGAATGGTAAGGTTAATAGGCACAATTGTCGTTATTGGAGTGACGAAAATGCACGTTGAATAAGAGAAGGTCATACTCAGAGACCGCAGAAATTTAATGTATGGGCTAATTTGAATATTTGTTATAAAAATCGTAATAAACATGCAAAAAAACATGAAAACATTTTATTTTTCCATTTGGTAGTCAATACCTCATAGTTCTTGAAAGAATTAAGATATCGGGTTTTGGTTTATGGGGTTGTATTTCTTTTTTCATTACCTTTAAAATAAGGTAAAACTCGACAGGGGTTGCTATTTAAAAATGTAGGGGTGGTCATCCCCTAAATAAACTCCACATTGCATGGAAGTTCTAAACTATCTAAGAATGTAGCGAAGAATTATGACTCTTTAGTGATCCCCAAATTTTCAAATTTTGTTCTTCCGTCCCGGGAGTTTTGGAAAACCTGTATACAGTGCTGTGCGAAATAATATGTGCAAGTCTATTCATAAATTTTTATAATAAAAATTATAATAATATCAACAGCTCTTAAAGAGTAGCCAAAACTTGATATTGTATCCGCTCACTTTGATTCTATAACTTCTAATTGTCCCTTTTGAGTTTGAAAGATAAAATTAATAAAGAGCTTTTAAAAGTTAAAATTCAATATGGGTTGTAATTTATGAAAATTTTTATAGTTTACGGGTAAATTACGAACAATAGTATAATTCTAGATTATTATGAAATTTAAAATGTACCATTTCGCGATATAATGAGAAGAGGGAAACATTGTAGCGAGGAGGTAAGATAATAAAATTGCGTAAAATGTCAAAATATATCGCGAAATAGTCAAAATAATTGGCTGTTCTCAAAATATGATATCTAACGCACTAAAATGGCGCAATAAAGCGGAAAAGGTGGAAGAAAAAGAAAAACATCAACGCGTACGAATTGTTCACCTAGCCAAGTAACACCCTTTTGTTATGTCAAAAATGAACTAAAATTGAATATCGACAAATCGACTGTTAGAGGCGAATTTGCCTGCTAGGAGCCCACGAAGAGTTTCATTATTGTCGCGACCATGTCGAAAAATGGCGAAACATATTATGGAGCGACGAAAGTAAATCGCATCAGATAGACTTAATGGCTTCGTAAGGCGTCCTCCAGGAAAAGAATTTAATCCTAGGTTTACCAATAAAACATGGTCCAATTTTTTGGCTACAGGGCAGTTTACATCAACATACTGGCAAATACCATATTGCCCTATGCTGATGACAATATGCCTCTGCGGTGGAAGTTTCAGCAAGACAACGACCCCAAATACACTTCCAGGGCAGCAAAGGATTGGTTTGCTGAAAAGAAAATTGATGTGTTGCTATGGTCAGCTTAATTTTGTGATCTTAATCCAATCGAGCATCTGTGGGGAGATGCAAAATCAAGAATTGTAATAAACATTACTTAATTACAAAGGATTTATGGCGTGCAGTCGAATTTGCTTGGTATAACATACCATCCTGGTTGTTAGTTGAATCCATGCCTGGTTGATACGTAGCAGTGCTAAAAAACCGCGGACAACAAACAAAATATTAATTTTAAATGTTGTATTATACCGTTTTTCTTTTATTTTTCAGTAAAACCATATTATGTTTATTAATTTAATGCATAATTGCATCTATTATTCTGCACATGCGTTAAAGTATTCTTTTGTTGTATCGTTGTTATTATTTACTGAATAATATTTGTTTTGAGAAACAATCGTTTACTAGTTCTAATTTTACGTATTAACCTTTTACTCTTATATATTTTACAACTAAAACACATTTAAAGACTATTTTGCACAGCACTGTACAGGGTGGGCAAATTTGGGTTGGATACGAAAAAAGTAGGTGCCATGTCCGGTCTCTTTTTTCGAGACTAACCCAATTCCACAAAGACTAAACCTCTATCTTCTTTTGTTTTTAAGTTATAGCCAAAAAGTCAAATTATCGCGATTTCAGAAACAGCTCATATTTCGTTTATTTTTGAAATTAAAGAAAAGCGGTTAATACATTCTTAAGACACTTTTTTAGTAGATTTTATTTATTTAGATGTACCTACTTTTTTCGTATCTTTTATTGTTTCTGAGATAGCTTATAATAACACCCAAATTTGCCCAGCCTGTACATACATACAAACTAAAGTTATTTACATACAGGTGATTCACATAAGAACCGACACAGAGCAGGGACATGTAGAGGACATGCATATCTCTAGTATTTTTTGTTTAAAAAAAACTGGATTGAAAATGATCTTCTAAATGTTTAAGGTGTTCAAATCATTTACAAAACCTTTAAATCATTAATTACTTTGAAAGCCTCATTATATGTAGTAATTGTGTTGCTGCTTTCAACAGTCTCACACTCGAGATCTTCTGGATTATGTTCAGTCTTATTTTCAATAACATCGTTAATGTTCAAACTCATCTCTGCTGTTGCTGCAATATCGTCGATTCGAACATAATTTTCAAGATTTTCTTGTGTTATGTTCATTTCATTGGCACACTTTTGCATTTGAACTATAGATAATCGTCTGGATTCCATTCGAATGATGTAGAATCTGTATGATTCCTTGGTCTAGTGGTTAAAATTGATACGACATTGATGTAGTATTGGGAGGTAAAAAGATAACTTTTATGTTTTGTAGCTTCTTTTTGCCCTGCCATATTAGCAGAAAGTATAATTGTAAGCCTTTCATTGGAAAGTTTTGAACCCCTATATATTTTTGGCCGATACCCAAGGAGGCAACTTATTACTAAACTGATTTACGTCGTCTTGATTCACATTAGCTGATTCCCCAGAAATACACTTAAAATTTAACGCCTGTTTCTTACGTCATTTTTCTAGCCAACCATTGGATGCCCCAAAGTTGGCAACATTTAATTTTTTTTGCTACCAATATTAGCAACATCATTAATTAAGAAAAATTTAAAAAAGTTTTTAATTTTAATACAAATCATTTTTTTCAGTTTCAAGAACACCGGTTCAAATTCAAGTACAAACATGTAAATTTTATCCAAATTGTANGTGCTAAAAAACCGCGGACAACAAACCAAATATTAATTTTAAATGTTGTATTATATCGTTTTTCTTTTATTTTTCAGTAAAACCATATTATTTTTATTAATTTAATGCATGCACCTATTATTCTGCAAATGCGTTAAAGTGTTCTTTTGTTGTATTGTTATTATTATTTACTGAATAATATTTGTTTTGAGAAACAATCGTTTACTAGTCCTAATTTTACGTATTAACCGTTTACTCTTATATATTTTACAACTAAAACACATTTAAAGACTATTTTGCACAGCACTGTACAGGGTGGGCAAATTTGGGTTGGATACGAAAAAAGTAGGTGTCATGTCCGGTCTCTTTTTTCGAGACTAACCCAATCCCACAAAGACTAAACCTCTATCTCCTTTTGTTTTTAAGTTATAGCCAAAAAGTCAAATTATCGCGATTTCAGAAAAAGCTCATATTTCGTTTATTTTTGAAATTAAAGAAAAGCGGTTAATACATTCTTAAGACACTTTTTTGAGTACATTTTATTTATTTAGATGCACCTACTTTTTTCGTATCTTTTATTGCTTCTGAGATAGCTTATAATAACACCCTAATTTGCCCAGCCCTGTACATACATACAAACTAAAGTTATTTACATACAGGTTGATTCACATAAGAACCGACACAGAGCAGGGACAGGTAGAGAACAATAAATTAAGATGATTTAATGTAACTTACCTCTATACTAAGTTGTACACCTGACGAGTTATAGGCTTTCAAAGTTGGCTCTTAAATTTTTAAAAAGTTCAATATCTTTGTAATAGCATTAACGAAATAAGTGTTCTTTAGTTATTTGAGTTTTAGAATTAAATTAAACATGAAATGAGGTAATAATGTATTAATCCACTAAAAGGTTAAAAAAAATCTGTTAAAATTTAGGGGACTATCACCCTTAATCAACCCTTTGAAATGCCTTAATTAGTCTCAACTTGCTTAATGTATTACGAATATATTCAATATTTAAAAAATTAAAATAAATCATCTTAATTTATTGTCCTCTACATGTCTCTGCTCTGTGTCGGTTCTTATGTGAATCACCCTGTATTCTAAAATGTTCCATTGACATGCATATCTCTAATATTTTTTGTTTAAAAAAAACTAGATTGAAAATGATCTTCTAAATGTTTAAGGCAAAACCTTTAAATCATTAATTACTTTGAAAGCCTCATTATATGTAGTAATTGTGTTGCTACTTTCAACAGTCTCACACTCGAGATCTTCTGGATCATGTTCAGTCTTGTTTTCAATAACATCGTTAAGAGGCTACTTTACCATACAGCTCGGCAAATTACAAAAAACATACATTATTTATGAAAATATTTGGATGAAATTTTGTACATAGCTTCTTCTAACAATTCTACATAACGCATGGTGAAAATTTTTAAAGTTTTCCAAAAAAAGGGGTTTTTTTCCTCAATATTATACAATTTGGTCGTTCTTTTTTAGCTTGCATGATAGTATACTTGAAAATAGTAACATTNCATCATTAATTAAGAACAATTTTAAAAAGTTTTTAATTTTAATACAAATCATTTTCTTTCAGTTTCAAGAACACCGGTTCAAATTCAAGTACAAACATGTAAATTTTATCCAAATTGTACAAACGTTCATTGTACGTTTTTCCATCCAAGGCCATGTAAATTTGGAAAATTTTGTAAGAATCAATCGGAGTGTGGTTTTGTGCATCCTAGAAATACAAATTTAACCTGGAGGAGTCATTTACAAGTGTAAATTTAGTTACTTTTTAAGTGATTTTTAAGAGTTAAACATTTTTTGTATTATGTACTAATTATTTAAACGAGTTGTTACGCGTCTCCGCTACGTTTAATGATTGTTTATATCAATAGTTTCGCCCACGAATTTAATTAATGGAATATTATTTAACACACCCAATTTAAAGTATGTAAATAACTGTGTAAGATGTAAATATAGGTTTTTTTCTGAAAGTATAAAATAAGTTAGTTTAGAATAACCCCAAGATTATTTCCGGAAAATATTTATTGAAAAATGTAATAATTTACAATCTTATTTCTCCAAAAAAAGAAATATAATAACTATATATATATATATTTATACGTTATTTCTAAATCCTGTAAAATAACATAGATTCTCTAATCGCGAAAAAAAAGTACAACAAGAACTATCAGATATACTTTGAAAATAAAATTGGAACACTCTCCCACCTTATATTAAAAGATACAATCTATATTTTATTGATACTTACACAAGCAACTAAAATATAACGTCCAAATTAAACATAAAAACAAACATTAAAAGTGGAACAATTGAAAATCTATACAAATTGAAGGTGAGGTTTTCTAAAGAAATAAAACCTTACAGAATTAAAAAAAATATATATGATACGATTAAACTTGTATGTATATGATTAATATTTAAATATTAGTTCTTATCTTAACCTGCTGCATCTTGTAAAGTTTGTCTCCACGTAGCGTGGAACGGTATTTTTAAAATTTTCACACGTGTCGATGGTAAATTAGCCAACAATAATTTTTGTAAATTAGGTAAAGGTAAAATTTCTACTTGAGGTGAATCAGACGAGGTCGATAACAAATCGCAATGTTGAAGCGGAACCGGTTTTAAAACGGGGATACTATCGCCATTACCAATCGGTTTTTTATCTTTCTTTTCCTTTTTATCAGTATCCTCACATTGATCCACAAATAATTCCGTAACACGTAGTAATTCCAACGTAACACCCCAAACAAAATGAGTCAAAGTATTTTGCAATCTTAGCACAGCTCCCAGCACCATATGATTTGTTGTTGCGCTTTGTGATATATAAGTAGGTATGATTAATAATTTTTTAATATTTTTACAAGCTCCTAAAGCTTTATCAAAACCCGATTTTATATCGAAATTAACCAATTCGAGCTGTTCCAATTTAGGCATGTTTTTAACAACATCTAAAATTTCAAATATATGACACGAACCTTGTCCTTTTTCCAATCGCAATTTTTCCAATTTATTTAATTTCGATAAAACTTCCGTCCCAAAAATCGTTGGTAAATCCGAACATTCACCCAATTCTAAACACTCTAAATCACTCATTTCACCCAAAACACTCAAATTTAAATTATGTAAATCTTTAATTGATGTAAGAGTGAGTGATTTTAAATTCTTCAAATCTTTTAAAACATTCAAATCAGTTGTTAAAACTAAACCGTTAGTACCTCGTAGTTTTAATTCTCTCAAATTTTCTAATCCCAATAATGGTTGTAGTGATAATTTTTCGCATTTTATAGCTAAAGCGGTTAAAACTTCCAATTTTGGGTTAGATTCCGCTAATTTTTCAATAACATTAGCGGGGCATTTACACAATTCTAATTGACGTAATGAATCGGCTTTTTTTATCGCATCTGAGAACTGCGTCCAGCGATCTTCGTTTTCATCGGCCGGTATCAAAGTTTTACGCAAATCTAAATGAACGGTACCGTGTTTTTTTAGAGTTTCCGCTAACCCATCAAATGAACATATTTGCGAATTCTTCATCCTAACGGTTCTCCACAAGCTTCGATGATTCGCTATGTCGCTCCACATCTTACAAACGCAACCGGCTCGAAGTAAATCTTGCACTTTTAGGTATTGAAAAACGTAAAGTAACGAGCCGTGGAAATAAGCTGCGTCTTGTAAGTGTTTTTCTCGTATTTTTGATGTTTCGATTATCGATGGGGGCTTTTCTGGTGCGTTAACACTTCGCTTTGTTGATCGAGTTGATGGTTTTAGCGTCGTTGGTGATTTATTCCTGAAAAAAAATTACAAATTTAAAAAAAATGCTAAAAAATGATACATTAATTAATTAACACATTGATTGCCAAGTCTATTTACTAACTAATTTCATCAATACTTGATAATCAATGCGTTAAGGAGGTTTCTTTGCTTTAAAATTGTATTGGATTTTTTTTGAAACGTTTTAAGGAATATTTAGGAGGAAAGACGACCAATTAAAAAAATAATAATCCTGTGAACAAAAAAAAATAACCCTATTTTTAAATCACCACATAAAAAAAGAGAAAACTCACTGTAAATTATCTTCTTCATCATCATCGTCTTCCTCTAAATCAACAACCCCTTCAATTTCCATTGCAGCAGTATGTTCTAAACCAATTTTCGGCGAAATCGGCTCCTCTTTAACTTCGGCGCCTTCCACGGGATATTCCCCAACGTCATAACCAACTGTGAAAGGTGCTGAAACAAGATCTTCCCCCGTAACTGTAGCAACCGTTGGGTTAACAGATACAATGTTATGTTTTGGTACAATTAAAAACTTCTTCTGTCCCAAAAATTCGACAGTTTGCGGTCTCGGATGTGGGGGTACTTCGACTCGTTCATCGCCGGCTATTTCCGCCCCGTTTCCCACCTGAATCGTCGAACTTGACGGAAACCAAGTTGTCACGGAACCGAGTAACGATTTCGGCTCGATTCCGTCTGGTTTTAACGCCAAACCCGGCCTTGGTGTTAATTTCGGCATTTCTAAATTATTATCGGATTTTAAAACACCCTGTTCCTGTTGTAGCTGTTGTTTGGGAATCCGTTGTAACTTTGGAAGTGTCGAAGTCGATGATGTTGGGGCGGAAATTAAGGGCGGTGGTGGGAGAATTGAAGTAGAAGACCCTGTACTCGGTAGTTGCCGCAGTTGACAATTCTGCAGAATATAAAACTTTTTAGAATCACTATTTCAGCTAGGTTTTTTTATGCCATCAAAAAGAATCCATAATTCAAATAAACCATAATAAATTAATTTTTTTAGACGATCATTTCCTTTTTATGGCCAAAACTTAAAATAATTTGTACCTTGCAAACGTAAGCATCGATGATGGCAACAGGTGAAAGACCGACGCATTCGTTGTGGTAAAGACATAGGCAGTAACGACATTGTAACGACGGAATCGGTTTCCAAACGTTTTTGCAACGAATCGAACATGGTTGTTGTTTATCCTCCTCATTTACACTGTAAGACATGGTTGAAGATAGTAGGGAAGGGTTATTGGTTTGGTTGAATATTTTTTGTTGGGTTAAGTGTTATGTTGTTTCAAAAAAATTTAGATGACTCAAAAAAAAACCTCCAATACAACAATAAATAACCTAGAAAGTGATAAAGTAAAGTGTTCCTCCTTAAAACAATTTACTTGGATTTCTGCATAAAAATTTCGAATGAAAAAGCGAAATTCCTACTTACTTATTGGCCCATCTCCCGGGTTTTTTAGCTGGCGTACTTGTGGTGGTGGGGGCGGTCTTTTCCGTCCAATTTGGGGGATAAGTCCCCATTTCTAAATCACCACTATCTTCCTTAGACACAGCTTTTTTCTTCGTTTTACCTTTTGCAATGGGAGTTTTAGCCGGTGGCTTTGCCTAAAAAAATCAACGCAATCAAAAATAAGCTGAATGTTGCTTTTTTACCATAGATTTTTTTAGAATCAATTTTAAAATTAATCAACTTAATCTTATCTGTCAAATTTAACGTGTTTTTTTCAAACCTTTCTTTGATTTTTATTATTTACATCTTTCAAATTTTTATTATAACTGTATTATTTTTATTTCAATAAAAGTTACTAAATCACAAATTGTATGCAAAACTCTAAACTCTAAAAGACTAAAATAAGGGTTTTGTACAAGTATTTATTTACATGTCCTAGAAATGTTCTAAGTATGGTAGTACTTTAAAATCGTTAAAACCTTTAACTTCTAACAAGTGGAATCACTCCAATGATTTTCTGGGTCCTTTGCAGTCACTAAACCAACTAAACTATCATAAAAATTCTTCTTTAAAGACATTTGATCTTAGTATTACTAATTCTACAGATATTTATCTTCTATAATGGTAAACTTCATTCAAAGAGAATTCATGGCAGAATTATTAGCCAAGTGTGCTGCTTATGATGGCTTTTCTATTAATGCTTTAACACAATCTGCTAGAATTCGGGAATTAATAACAAAACGAGATTATTAAATGCCAAAAAGCGAAAATACAGTAAACCTAATTGTGAATTTCAGTAATGAGAAAAAGAAAAGTATTAAAGATTACTTAAAAAATATTTACAGTAGAATGGCGTTGAAAATTAATTTAGCCTAAACCATGGAATTCATTTAGCTGTCATGGTACCTTTTATAAAAATGTGATAGTACCAGCCTAACAAAAGAATTTTCGGATGAAGAAAGTGAGGATGGAGAAACAGGTTATCATTTTGATGCGTTTCGAAATTATAACAATGAAAACAATAATGAGTACAGTTTGAAAGATGAATATGTAGAGAACATTTTGCAAAATGTGCGCCATATAGTAAAATTTTTCAGAAAATCGCCAATTAGAAACGATAAACAGAAAACACTATCCCTCTTACTAGATTATAAAAGTAAGCATTAGAAGAAATCGGAGGAAGTGATTTGTACATTGAAAAGGATATGTTAAAACCTGTAGAATTGGCAATTATAGAACTGAGTACACCATCTTTATATTTATTAAAGCCAGAGGGTGTAATAATATATTTACTTAAATCTTATATTATATAAATCATTCCCGCAAAGAGACAAATCTTTGGAAATGTAATATTCGGCGAAAAGCTCGAAATATGCGTTAAAAGTTCTTTGGCTGAAAGATTATTTAAAATCTCTTTGAAGAAGTAACAAAACCCGTAACTACAGGAACATCTTTGTTTTAGCAGATGAAAGAGACGACCTCAGAAATGTTGAAGGATACAGAAAAAAACAAAGAGACTGAGTTTAGTAATAATTTTAAAAAATTATTAAAGATGTTTGAAGCAACAAAAATGAAGACATCAACAATTGAAAATTTATACAAAGCTTTGGGGACTATACAATCGACATCTACTTAAAGTGAAATAGTTTTTTCCGTTGCGGATAACTTTTGTACAAAATTAGTTAGTTTTCTTAAAATATTATTTTATAAAAACATCAAGTTCATAAATTATATTTTAATTTTGTTTTTGTAGAAAAATATACTTTTTCTTTTGTATATTTTATACTCTCAATACATATAGTATCTACTTTGTATGGTTTTAATATGATAATTACTTTGACATCCTTTTATAAACACTTTTTTGTACTTTACGCAAATTTTTTGGTTAACTCTTTGTGTCCCGACGGTACTTTCAAGTACTTTCTACTATACAAGAAAGAATTTGTATAAAAAATGACACAATCCGCACTGTAGGGTTTTTAGGTATATTTAAACTTATTCGTCCAAATGTGAGGTTAGAAGTTTAGTGAAGAGTGGTGTTGCTAAATTTTGTTATTCAAAAAGGTATCTCTGATAAATGGTTATTAGGTGTGATTATTACAGATCATATTTATATAGCATTTAGCTTTAATTTAAACTAAGTCTTATTCCTTAATTTCAATAAATACGGCTTCCAGGAATTTTTAAATTAGCATCTTTTTTGACACTTTTAGGTTATACAAAAATGTAAGTTGTTTCAACATTTCTTTCAAAAATGTTAGTTTTTGCTCAACATGTTTTTTCTCAATATTCTATCAGCTTTTCGTCGTTCTGTAGCTATAGGTCTGATAAATAAATATTCAAATTTACTGCGTCCAAATGTCGTATCGCAAGCTCAAAAAAGGGGGAAGTTGTGAAAATTGTTCTGCCAAAGCTAGACCCCACTCAAAATGTACTGCATGTAATGTTTATTTATGTTGTAATGAAAGAAAGAACTGTTTTTCTGAATATCATAATGTGGTTTAGCTAAAGCAAGTGTTACTTATTTTCTAATGTAATAAAAAATGTATTATTTTTATATTAGCAATAAAAGTTTTTGTATACTGCAACATCACTAAAATTGCATATTTTGCTAAAATTGATTCCAAATGCCTTTACTGAGTGTATTTTGATAGCGTTTTAATTCTGCCACAAAGTTTCAAAATTTTTGACTTCTTGGGACACAAAGGGTTAAGCGGTTTGCCATTATTAATTAACCGAAAAAATCTTATCTTCTTCTCTTGCAATTCCTATCTGAAGGAGAGATGCCAGATTGTTTTGGTTAATGTTTTTTCTCTAATCCTGTGTCGGTGCTTTCTGGTGTTCTCCATATCTCCTCACCTCTTGATTGTTCTAGATTGCAATCTGATTTAGATAATATTCATATTTTTTGCTTAAACAATCACCTTCCTAATTAAACTAATTAAAATGTAACATTATTTCCTTCTCTAGGATGGTACACCCAATCCACTACAATAATAGCGTCGCTGGTGAGAAGTTGCAACGCGTCTCATTTATTAGAGATTTGGGTGTTACAATTAATTACAAATTATTATTTGATAAACATATTGATACTGTTGTCTCCAAAGCCTAGCATATGTTAGAATTTATTATGAAATCCAGGGTAGCTTTTTCTAATAATGATGCAATTAGAAATCTCTATTTTGCCTATTTTATCTACAGCACACTTAACTTTTACAGCCTGTCAAAACTCTCCTCTATTGAGAACGACGAGATTCGCAAATCGTGTTAACATAGATGTTTCAGCATTCTTTCTTTGCATTTAAAAAAATGTTCTTTGCTGCAGTTGGTGTGTTGCCTCAGGCGTTCTTTTGATACGTGATATTTATATCACCTAGACTTAGTTTTTTCCTCTCATTTCGATTCGCTTTTGTAGTATTATTGTTAATTCATTATTATTATTGTGAACTGTAATTCAACTTGTATACAACTGGTTGTTTGTAGTACAGTTTTATTAGGTTCGACCTGTTTCTGTACCCATTTGAGATAAATAAATAAATATATAAGAATAAGAATTAAATAAAGTGGATGTTAGTGATAGTTTATGGAATGGTTATATCCTGTTATAATGTTATGTCCTTTACATGTTATCAACCTTGAATGGGAAAGGTCAGATAGTGTCCAAGACTTGGATGCTATCATCAGGATCTTCATCATCATCATTGGCACTACAACCCAACATAGGGTTTTTGTGTTCCTGCAAATCTCTAGAAGTCCCATGAAGATATGTCCTTTTTATCAACATGTGGCCATTAACCACATGGTCAACCCCTAATTTATACTCAAGTGCTACAAATTAAACTGCAAACATTCAAACTACACCCATCCTGTCACTGAAAATGAGATCATTTGGAGCCTTTGTATTATCTAAAGCAGTATGCTCACATTATTTATTAAGTAATAGGATAGTTAATCTGTTTTTTATGTTATCAATGAATCTCTAAATACTATTCAATCAAACTTCTTGAAATTACAACCTAACTGGGATCCTTTAGGAAACCCCTACAATTTTGTAGAATTATTGATAATTCTTTAATGGAAATTCTTTGATTTCCTTAAATTAAATTAACAAAAATTATTGTATTGTTGAAAATCTTTTAGAGTTTAGCATCCTTGAATTTAAATTAGATTTATTTATTATTAATAAAACAATTAAAAATCTAAAAAAAATGCGTATAAAACCTGTATATACCTTTGTTGTGGAATTATTTTTTTTAGGTGGAGTTTCAACAACTTCCGGTGTACTTCTACCGGCAGTTCTTTTAGTTCCACGCTTATTTTCAGTTTTGGGTGGCGGTTCAACAACCGGAACCTCCTCCTTTCCACCTATCTTCAATTTAGCATCCCTAATAATTTCTTTATCCGGATCGTCGAGCCCTAAAGGTTCCTTGTAAAAAGTAAAATTGTCCAAGGTCAATTCTTTTTCATCCAGATTTTCAGAAACCTCCCGCATCGAGCGAACTTTCTTCCCTGCCGGGGTATAATAATAAATATCCCCTTGTTTCTTTGTCAAGGAATCCGAGGTGGCTCGATAGACGAGTTCCCGTTTCCATCCGAATTCAAATGGTTTCAAAAAATTAGGGTTATTCAAATCAACCTGTACCTTTCGCTTTTTTGAAGAGGAAAATAATGGGCTTTCTGCTCGTCTCGGTGTACCTTTTACCACCGCTACTATACCACCATAATTTGAAGAGGTTGATGAAGGTGTGCTTATTTCCGTTTGTTCTGCATTTTCGCCATTTTCAATACGTTTTTGCTTTTCTTGACGAGCAGAGATTAGTATATCGCTATAACGTTTGTTAGGAATTCGAGCACGTTTTCCTTTACCTAATTGTTGTTTTTCAGGTACAGACATGTTATTTTCATCTATAAATGAAAAAAAAATTAAAATATTTGTTATTTTACATCTGAAAACTCTATTAAAAACAAGGTCATTCTAAAAGTGTTTTAAATTTATTAAAATTTTTATAAACTGTCAAAAAATGACATAAAACTTAACCTCAAAAACACTTTCATAACCCCACATTAATAATGCAATCAATTTTAACTTAATTACCTTGAATGTCATCTTTCTTTTCTGGCTCGATAACTTCTCTTTCACCTTCAGTTTCCACTTCCGAAGAGGCAGATTCTTCAGCTTCACTCGATTCCGGAAGTTTAACTTCATTAACCTTTTTTGGCTCATCACCTTCTTCTTCAACCGTCTTCTTTGGCGATTCCTTTTCTTCGTCCAATTTCACCTCTGGAGCCTTCTCAACGCTCCCCGCGTCCTCTTCAACTCCATCTTTGTTGCCATTAAGATTTCGCGCCGTTTCGGCTTCGACAGGTTCTTCGGTGTTCTTTTGCGGGGCCATTTTCACACGGGTACCTCGTCTTGTTGAGACTGATGCATCCATTTGCTTCCGTTTATTATAACAACTGTGGGTACTCAAACGAAATGTCTACCTTTAACGAGCCTCTTTCAACGTCCCACGTGTGTTACGCATTATTTGGGGCCTCTCCAGAACGATATTGATACTTTCCCTGGGTGCTTCTTATGGTGGTTTTCACTGCGGTTGAAATTTATGGGATGTCTCTATTGAGGAAAGCTTGAAAAGCGGGATTTTCCGATTATTTTCGCTTGGAATAATGCAACACTACACTTATCAACGATTTGTTCGTCGTTTAGTTGTTGAGCTATGTAGAGGGCACCACGATCGATTGAATTAAATGAGCGGTTTTCATAAAACAGTACCTTGATTTTATGAAGATTTTATTTGGTTGAATGTATTTACGTCGTAATTACGCTTTGGGATAAAATTGTTAATTAAATCCGTTGATTTTTGATTGTTTAGATTATTAACCAACGCGTCGCTCTTCGAAGCGTCATTGTCGTTACACTAGATTACTGTTATAATTTAGGATGAGCTCAATAGATGGTGCGATGATAGAAGTGTCAATGTTGATTTTGTTAATAAATTTAGAATTAATTACATTTTAATTGATATTTAACTTCTGATTTGTCGTTTATATTTGATTGAAATAAATTAAATTATAATTTTTATTTATTTGTTGGTTATTGTCGTTGGGATATATAGAGGGCAGCACAATCGTTTCGTTTAAATAGATGATTTTAAGAAATATGGTTTTCAATTGTTTAAAATTTATATTACGTTAGATGTATTTTTTGATTATGAATTATATTGATATAAATTAATGTGTTAATTTTTGATATAAACTTATATGATATGCCGATAAAGTAGATTTCTGCGTTTACAACACGTAAGGTGTCAAAAATTAAAATCTGATAATTGTTTTATTGATAATTTATTTAAAACGAATAATTTTAGTGTTATAAATGGTATTTAATATATTGCAGTTTAGTTTAAAGATGTAAGTATGGATTTCTTTGAATATTGGTGTATTTTGATAAAGATAAGTAACCAACCTACGTTAATTTCAGATAACATCAATCAATCTGATAAAACCTTGATTTTTTTGAAAAATGCTATTATTTCCGGGGACAAGGTCAAGAAACTTCGTTTTTTATTAATTTCGAAATTGCTGTTATACAGTCACGTAGACATATCCTTAAAAACAATTCTAAAAATCATAAAAATTCAATTTTTGACCACTACTGTTAATAATTTTGTTCCAGTATCAAAACAGCTCCACGTGAATTTCTTTGCAAACTCCCACTTCCTCCGAAAAACCAACTCCGGTCGATTCTTAAAGCTCAAAATCGTTTAACTTGGCGCCGACGGAACGCGGCATCGAAACGGCGGCAAGGAGTCCGTCCAATAAACAGGAACAGTGACATAACCAGTAGCCAATCGGATTTTGCAATCGTGACATAAACCTCTAAAAATAGTCAAGTATATAACATGGAGAACTGGAGGGAGCAGGTCACGTTTGAGTTTGGCGTTTGATCGGACGGGGCTCTGTTCAGTCGACCGGCGGACGCGAACTGCGATGTTTATTAGATCGAACGAAACGCGCGCCGCCGAACAAATCAGTTGCGACCTGTTGTACGCGAAACTGCTTTGCGACGAGAAACAACTGCGGAATCGGCGAAAACGTGCCGACGCGTGTTTAATATTAACGAAGATAATCAGTACGCTTATTGTTAAAACGCCGGGCGTCGCGACGCTCGAGGATCCTTCTTCTTCATCGCCGAAAGAAACCGCAATCGCTACTACAATTGGCGACAGGTGGTCAAAACTTAGGTAAATAACGAAAACTAAATTATAGGAACATTAATTTCCAAAAGAAAAGTCAAATTTTCAAAAATGGAATCGAGAAACGCAAAAGTTTTTATTTTGAAATGCAGATAAGATGAGTTTAATCCATTTTAAACGTGTCGTTTTGTTGGGTGGTACTTCTAAGTTAATTAGTATCAATTATAGTCATTAAAGTTGTTACTTTTATAGTTTAACTTTAAAGGTTACAAACTGTTTTAATTCTGCAACAAATGTTACATTGGTTTGGGTTGGGTTGATACTCGCTTGATTAAAATCTTTGGTTATTTGTACACCATGTTACATGTTTTTTAAATCAACACTTTTTGTACTAACAATAAGAAAGAACGATTCATCTTGAATTTCCATAATACATTTTATGGTCTTTAATACATTTTAGGAGCAAACAACCATTAATTCGATAAGTGTTGCAAACTCTGCAAAATCATCTTAAGATTTCAAAGTATCATATTACCGATAAAATACTGATACCTTAATCTCCGCGTAAATCTCTTGTACAACGTCATTAATAACACACAATAATTAATTAAAAAACCAGATTTAGACATTTTATTGTTTCTTTGACCAGGATGTTGTTAAAATATTAGAACGCATTTGAAAGTGGCACAGAAACATATACGTGATCGTAAAAAGTTTTGCTTGAGGGTAGATTAGGATTTGGATTTCGCAAATTAGTATTTAGGAAAGCTACCGCTGCGGATTATGGAAATTTTATCGCTTTTCAACGAGCGATTACCGTAAAATCAACGCAGATTTTCATTTCTCAACCGTGGAATCGGTTTATATTACTTATTACGATGACGTTCTGCTCGTATATCATCGTTGTAACTGTCAATTAACCTACGATATTATTACTAATAGATGTAATCTGTTTAACATTATGTGGGCTTGTAACTTGTACGTGTTCGTAACGGTTTCTGTATTAATCTATTAAGAATACCCGATCAATCTGAATCAATGTTTTAAAAAATTTATCAGGAATGCTAAAAATATTATTAAATTAACCCCTCCTACACGATTTATATCCAACATAAAGTTCAAGTCCGCGTCAAGAAACTGTAACTTTTACTGCATCGTGGGAAATGTCGAAAGAAATATAAACTCTACAACGAGAACAAAATACCAACAACACTACTTTTAAACAAACCTCCTACAACAACGCATAACAGGAATTGTTCGCCACTGATCATTCATGAATCGACGACAATGACAATAGCCGGACTCATTAACAACGATTTATTATGTAGTTTATTAGCATACGTTTCTAATAACGATTTGAAAATGGGTTAGCGTGTTCGTAATCAAAGGGAAAAATGATTGGATCTTAATGTTTTTATTTCAACGTCGAAAGTTGACAGTTACTAATCTTTAAATCTTAACGATTATCGAATGATAATTCAGATGAAAGGAACCGAATTTTTTTTTAAGGAAACTGTAGGATCATTGTAAATTATTAATTTTTGTAAAGGAATTAAGGGGGAATTAAGAAAACGTATTTCAAGGTAAATTATCTGTGCCTTAGTAATAAGTATTAAGCAAATAATTACATTGTAAACATAAAACGTAATCGATATTTTGTAAATATCAATTGTTTAGATAAAGCAGTGGTCTCCAAATCGTATTGATTTTGGGTTTAGAAAAAAGTTATTTCCTCAGTGTTGATGTATTTAATTAGTTTTAAGATATTTTGTTGCTTGGGGCCCTATTTAAATAGTTAAAATATTTAACATCATGTGCTGCTTGGGACTCCGTTGAGAAAGTAGTTAGCATCAGAGTACTAAATAACAGCACTATATGTTATAGTTAGATGTGTATTTATGAGCAATATAAATTCGTATTTCTTCCGATAAATCACCACAAATGTGTCAAAACTGGGCAGAAAGACCCTGGTCGGTAGCCCTATTCTCACCCCTTCACTTTTTTATTTTTTTTGTGTCAAAACACAGGAATGTAATTAGCGATTATTGCAATTAGACAATAATCCTACGTAATTTACTGATCTTTACATGATCTATAATTTTCAGTATTTTGGGAGGTACTTCACGTGTTTCAAATATGTTTTGAATATCAAACACCAGTTTTTATAAACATGGATGTGGCAAAGACAATGTTGCCACATCGAGAATCCCGATTAACCGAGTTTTTGAGTCAACAATTGTAAATGAAATCATATTGGCTCTTAGCATAGGAAATATCAGCTTTACTTTTGGTATATCTTGGTTCATACGAAGCTTAATCTGGACGTTGTTAAACCACAATCCTCTACCTCATCTGGGGTTGGTGAATATTTGCTTTGTGGTTCTCAACATGATTACAATGCCAAAAAGGTTTATTTTTCGTTCTGTGTGTTAATAACAGACTAGATATTGATGACAGAAGACTAGATACTGCTGGCAAGTCGCTAGATACTACTTATAAAAGACTAGAATTTGCTTACATAAGATTAGGTATTGTTGGCAGATTACTAGATACTGTTAATGACAATCTGGATACATACATACTGCTTACGATAGACCGTACTGTTGACAAAAGACTACTGCTAGCAGGAAATTATATTCTGCTAATAAAAAACTAGCTGCTGTTGGCGGAAGACCAAATACTTCTAATAAATTACAAGATTATGCTAAAGGATTACTAAATATTACTGGCAGAAGATTAGATAAAGGTTCCAGAAGAATAAACTAAGCTGGCCGGAAAAGATGGAAGTTAAGGTGTGAGAAGCGGTTTTGAACTGTAATTAAAATCACTTAATAATAATAATAACCTGGATTATACAATGAATTCCGTAATGATATCGATTATACACGCATCACACTCATTATAATTGCGTACACTATTGTGTGATGAGCTCTTCGAAAACACGCAAATACGATGATTAACCAAATACGATTTTGTTGCTGATGATGTTGACTAATGAACATATTGCGGCTAATGGTTATAAGTAACAATAACCACGAAAACTTCTTGTCTGGAGCTAAATTCTTAATATTATAGAGCGTTATAGGAAGAATTCTCTGTTGCCAAATCTACAAGTTAGAAACTTGTAAAGTTAGAGGAAGCGTATGAAGCTTAGTACAAATTGTCGTGATTCATCGCCGAAAAAACGTATTATTAGACGCTTATAAAACCACGATTTTTGAAAGCAGTTGTTATCCTTCTTGGACCAGAAAGCACACAAGTATTTTTATCAATACCGCTTTCTGACTATCCTGTCGGATTAACATGTCGCATTGATGGTACGGCCAAAGGCATAACAATTCAGTTAGTGGACGCCATGAAAGGAAATAAAAATAACACATTCAAAAGGAAATATTGAAAAAATTTTATTTGCAAAAACGTTTGCTATAGAGTTAACAATTTCAAAAGCTGTTGATGTAATAACTGTTATAAGTTGATGTTATGGCAAAAGTGTAATGGTGCTTCATCAATATTTAGATTTTGCTGCAAATAGTCACAAAACTCAACAACACTTTTAAATGAACTCATTGATTTTTAAAATTCTGCATCAAAATTGACAGTTATCTTAAAAAATATGTTCCCACACAGTTCCAAAAACAACGAGATAATTAACTTTTTTTTGAACGACACTTTACGATCTTTAATAACGCTGTCATTTCATTGGAAAGTGTGCTGGCTTTCAAAAGCAAATATACTGGGAAGATTATTTGGACTTGAAGATGAAGTAATTTTGTTTTTGCAATTTAAAAACAAACTGAATTATATGTGCATCTGTGTATATTGCATTAAGCTTTAAATTATCGAACATGATTTATCATCCTGTATACTATGGAATTATAAAATTATCGCATCCAGTTATTAATACTCTCCGAAATTATTTATAATCTCGGAAGATTTCGGAAGATCTCGATTATCAAAGTTAGATGATGAACTTTTTTGTCTTATAAAAAGTTGTAATGTTATGAATATCTTTTCAAATCGTTCTCTTCCGATTTACTTATACAATCAAACATTGTTTCGTCGTATAGAATTGTTGTGATGCCACACGCAGAATTCCAACCTTGTGCTATATAGAACTATTAATAATATTCAATTAACGGATCTATTTAACAACATTACACAGACATAGAATTATCATTGAAAACTTTTTATGAACATTTGTGAAATTAAAACATTTTTTTTAAAATTATCTTCGCGTTTTCGTATTAAATAAATAATTACAAAGTAAACATAAAATGTGTACCCACTTCGTATACTTTTCCAATATTTACTCAAATATTAAATAAAACTTTAGTTTTATTATGTAGTTAAGAAATTATTACTAATTAATATAATTTATTAATTCTAGGAATCTTAATTTATGCACGATTTCAAACTTAATTTCGACGAAAGTTTAAAGTGCAACCTTCTCGATTACTCACCAAAAATAGCATTTCCTGTGTTATTCTTCTCTTTATAAATTCTAATAAATTAATTATCTAAAACTACGCTTCAAGAAAAAAACTTATGAGTAATCGAAACGTGCTGAAGGCTTTTGCTATAAATTTTCTCCAAGTATTTTATTTTAATTTTTTTTAATGCTTTATTTTTTTTCTTTTTAGGTAAGTCACAAATGATTGTTCATCTTGCGGTTACATTGACTCAAACGGATCCGGTAACGTAGCTTTCTATAAATCAATTTTTTAATTTTGATCTTTAAGACTTCACATTTTTCTTATTCTAAAACAGACAGACGAGTTTCTCACGGACATAATGGTGTCGATAAATAAACTTGAAGGCCGCCTTCACCTTTTCTGCCACCATTGTCAAAAATAATCAGCGAACAACGTTCTAATTGTCCGCAAACGGTTCGCCTCTCCACCTCTAAGTAATCGTTTTAGCTAGAAAAGGAGCGAAAGAGACTTGTTTTGCTTTAAGAAGAAGATCTCTTTTTTCCTTTTACTTTTTTTTTAACTTTGACGTTGTTTATTTTCTTTTATGCTGGCTATAATAAGGTCAAAGATGTTTTC